AACTAACTAAGATATCTTATCCTATTTTTAGGAAGTATTTAAGCTCTAAGCTACTGACTTCCATAATACTTCCATAAAATAGTTAAACTCGCCCCTCTGGTGGTTGCAAAACCGAGGACACGCCATCGAAACCCACCCTTAAAAAAAAATGAGGCAAATGTCAACGGAACACACCCCTCGCACACACACACTCACGCACACATCGCCGTGATTTCGCTTTCATTTGCTTCTCCGGGGTAGCTGCAGCCCCTGAATCACACATTCCAGAACCCGATGATGCCGACCTTGTTGCTGTGCGCCTGGTACAAAACTTCAAGCAGAATTTCCTTTCGTTTGACTGTAAATATTCGAGCTGCATTTGAAGCTCGAAATAGTGAAAATTAAAACAAAAACCTGTTCGAAAGGAATCTATTTTGTAAACCAAAATACTTTGCTAATAAATTAACAGATTAATTTATAGAAAATAGAAATAGAAAATAGTGAAAATTTTGCAATATATAGGGATTTCAAATAGAATAATTCAGATTTCCACTCAAGTTTAGACAGAAAAAACACATATTTCTTGAGATACCCATTCCTCTCTATAAGGAAGGACCAATTTGTGGTTAATCAAATTTCCAACAAAGCATTTATTTTATAATACAAACTTTCTTTTAATTAAAAACATAAATCATCAACATATCATACTACATCAAATATAATTTATATTTTAAAGTAAACTGCTAATATTTTCTTTTTAATCTTTGTAATTTTTTATATGAACTTTTTGGAAATATCAAAGTTCAAAAAACCACAGCTCAGTTAAAAATGCATTAATTTAAATTCGGAAAGTGTTTTTAAGTTAGTTTTTATTAGGTGAACAAATCTGCATACTTAATTTAACATTTACAAAATTTTGAATTTTAGCCAAATTTTGACAATTTTAACGATGTAACCCCTTATAAAACTTTTAAAAAATTAAAAAAAAAAAAATTTTCCTCAGACTTGGCTAAAAAGACTCGGCTTGTGATGGTGATCAAGAATGTATATGATTTATAGGGTCGGAAATGATTCGTTCACTAAATTACAAGCTTCTGACTGAAATTATAATACCCTGCAAGCGTATATTAAAATTATATAAATAAAAAATGTTTAATTGTTTAATTTTAATACTAAAAAAATCGTATAACAAGACACAAACATTTAATAAATATATTTAAATAAATATTTTATAGTGGTTCCACAGCGATAATTCCAATATAAAAACTATAAAATATTTATTTTATTATTAGAAGCAAAAAATAATTCCATAATTTTACTAGCCACTAAACTATTATAGAAGTAGCACCAACTTGCTCGTAGTATCAAATTTTTAACTGATATTAAATCATTAATTTTGAAAATATTGTTGGCTTAAGTCAACGATTACTGCCTATCCAATTTGCTGACCTCAATTGTTTAAATCTGACAATTATGGCCAGTTTGTCCGTACGGTCGTAATCTCCATATTCTTCATATTTAATTTAATATTTAATACACAAAAAAACCTTTAAAATAAATCAAAATTTAAATATTTAAAGCCATGCTTGTTTTAATTAAAACACATATTTTAATAAAAAAAAAAAAAAGAGTTGCTTTAAATAAAATGAGTTCATAAAACAATAAACCCTATACCATTAATACATAAGAATAATATTTAATTTTAAGATTTTACAACCGATTTTTTAAAACTGATTAATAATAACGGCTGCGCCTTAGTGATGTGGCAAAGCTATCGATAGGTGCCATGCCTTATCGATGATACAATCGTTGTCTTCTCATCTCTAGCGCTTGATTAATAGTTTTTATTTCTTTTTTTGTTTTGTTAGTTTTGTGGATGTGTAACTAATGCGGCGATCCAGATTATTTGAGCAGCTGGCCTGAGTGCCCTGCCGGCTCTTGCTTGACTTCACCTGGAAGCCTCCTCCGGCAGAATACTTCACACCACAGACCAGGCAGCACGCACATCTGGCGAGAAATTGTAAACAAACCCGGGAATATGTTAATTTTCGGCTGCTGATCTGCTGCTGTGGTGTGCGTATATTATGCAAAAACTAGTTTGACCGCCGCGCCGGTTATTGAACTCTTGACACTTGACTTGGCGTGCCGGCGAAAATAGATAATCGCCGCAGGGTTCAATCAGAATCTGAGAATCGGGGAATTGGCCGAGTCAGCACAACTGCTGCGAGCTCAATACGGGAGAGCCAGCGAAGCAAGTCACATGTATGCGCACAAGATGGACGGTCGAGTTCCCGAGCTGGTCATATGGTGAGTACATCTCCAAAACGGGCCAAAACGATGCTAATCTTGGTTATATTCCTTGCTACGACAGCTCCTTCATAGTGGTCAGCCTGCTGGTCATTCACTTCTTTTCGGATTTGCTACGCGCCTCCCTCGGCGGCTTCTACAACCAGGATGTCACGCTTTCACAACTGGTAGAGGCCCAAAGCTCGGACTACGCCTGGCTGCTCAAACTCCTGGTCAACTGCTTTGGCTACAGCTGCGTCTTTGTGCCGGGCTACCTCATCTACAAGTATGTGGGCAGGATCAACTACCTGGAGAGGGGCAACAAGAGCTGCCTGTACAGGGCCATCAACATGTGCATCACAGGCAACTCCAGCTACGATCAACTGGACGCTGGAGGCAGTTCGGCGGACAGAGAGCGACCGGCGGTGTCTGCTGCGCCCAAGCGAACGAGTTCCCAGGAGGCAGTGCAGCTGTTATGGTGCTTCGGCGGCCTAATGGTCTCCTATCTCACCTGGGGCGTGCTTCAGGAGAAGATTATGACGCAGCACTACCTCAACTTTGCCGGGGAGAGCGCCAAGTTCAAGGACTCGCAGTTTCTGGTGTTTGCCAACCGCCTGCTGGCCTTCTTCGTGGCCCTGGCCTACCTGCAGTGGCAGCCCTCGCCCATTAGACATCGTGCTCCGCTCTACAAGTACTCCTACGCCTCCTTCTCTAATATAATGAGTGCCTGGTTCCAGTACGAGGCTTTGAAGTTCGTCAACTTTCCCACCCAAGTGCTGGCCAAGTCCTGCAAGATCATACCCGTGATGCTGATGGGCAAACTGATGTCCAAGGCCAAGTACGAGACCTATGAGTACGCCACGGCCCTGCTCATCTCGCTGGGCATGATCTTTTTCATGAGCGGCTCCGCGGACAGCAGCAAGGCCAGCGGGGTGACCACGCTCACGGGCATCTTCCTGCTGTCCATGTACATGGTCTTTGACAGCTTCACCGCCAACTGGCAGGGATCGCTGTTCAAGAGCTACGGCATGACCTCTCTGCAGATGATGTGCGGGGTCAATCTGTTCTCTTCCATCTTCACCGGAGCCTCGCTGACAATGCAGGGCGGCTTCATGGACTCGTTGACATTCGCCACAGAGGTAAAAACTATAGTTTGGGTTTAGTTTGGTGAATAAATCCTACCTCACGTTCTTTCCATTTATTTCCAGCATCCAAAGTTTGTGTTTGACATGGTTGTGCTTTCCATTTGCTCAGCGGTCGGCCAATTGTTCATCTACCACACAATCGATGTATTCGGGCCAGTTGTGTTTACCATTATAATGACGCTGCGCCAGGTGAGTTAATTCGGGAATTCGGGTTTGTTTACTCAACTGCTTGCTCACGAGGTATTCTATTTTTGTATCCCACAGGCCGTGGCCATCATGCTCTCCTGCTTTATCTACCAGCACAGCATTTCGGTGCTGGGCATCTTCGGCGTTCTCATCGTCTTCGTGGCGATCTTCCTGAGGGTCTACTGCACCCAGCGCATGCGACTCATGCGCAAGCGGGCCGAGGCTAATAAACCCAAAATGGCTGTCTAACCAGAGTGGGGAATGGGCAGGCTTCGAATATAACGCACAGACTTCCTAGCTCAGCCCAACTTAGTGTATTGATATCAGCTCATGGCGGATCGCACTTCCGACGAAGCCTAGACAGAGGCAGCTCGCTTGGTCTCCCCAAATTGTACAGTTTTGTTTTCCTAGTTCTAAGTTGAATGTATACTTGTATCTTAACCGCAAAGGGGTTTCCAAAAAGATGTATGTGCTTAACTAATAACAATAATAATATTAAACATTTTGTATACTGCAAAAAGGTAGTTACAAATAGGCTTAAGACCCTTCTCACCCTTTTATTTCACGCCATTTCGTTGCCTTTTTGGATAATCGTTTAATATCATGATAATTATCACTAATCCACCTATCATTTTCGGTTACAACTTGATTTCACTTAACCAAATTGGTTGATCGATTTAAACTTTAGAGAAATGATTCATAACCCAAGCCCATTTTGGAAGTTTGTCAGTCTGTTTTGTATATGGAATACCTTAAGTTTTAAGAGGAACATTTTGTAACTTGAAGCTATTATTTACACTTAATTTGAGAGATATAAATTGGCTTGTCACTGGATTCTGTCTGAGAAATAGTGTCTCAAAATGAAAAAGAAAATTGATTAATGGCAGCGACATCCGTACTTCCCCTCACAACTAATTAGGCGGCGGCTTGACTCCCAGATCACCAGCTTTTGGTGCAGTAAGTCAGCTCGACATTGACCCACTTTCGGGTTACATTTTTGGCAGAAATGTGTTTGTTATTTTGGCCAAAACAGCGACGGGTGAGAGCTTCCATCGCTGGTGGTTCAGGTCAATGCACATGAGTCGCCGAGTGTAACATGTTTTTTTTTCTACCTAACCATTATTGGGCCATGTGGGCGATTATACTGGCGATGCTGATGATGATGATGCCGGCGGTGGCTTGGGTGGGCGGCCTGAATTACCATAGCAAAACAATGCCCTGGAAAAATGCGAGCCAATAAAAAAGGGCATTATGCAATCGCCGGTGTCTGGCTGCCTTCTAAGGGAATAGCAACTAATTTGCCAAATGCGAGTTGGCTTTTTGTTTTTTTGCACGCCGCTGGCCAAGGTGATAAGTTGGGGCGTACTCTGCATTAGAGGAATAGTTTGTGCCCATCCCGCCGAGCGTGCAGAAGTCTTTCGGTACTCGAGTCGCGTCTTCAACATGCAACTGTTCCTTTTACTCCTCCTGGGAGCCCTGGGCTACTCGTTGGCCTATCCGCGCACCTACAGTTACGATTATCCGCGCCGAAGGGCCTATTCCTCCGGCTCGTATTCCGGCACCAATCAAAATTCCCTGAGCAGTCGCAGGGCGAGGGAGGAGAGCACCACCAAGTCGGACAAGGAGAACGCCAAGTTTGCAGGAGCCGCCAACCAGGAACTGGATGAATCTGGCGATGAACGCACCCTGCTGCTCAAAAAGAAACTCAAGAGGCTGGCACGGCCGTACTTAGGAGGATATGGCGGATTTGGAGGATACGGTGGATATGGGGGCTATGGAGGATATGGCGGATATGGGGGCTACGGGGGCAACCCATGCTACCCCTATGGTCGCGATGCCAAGGGCGGTCAGAAGGATCCCGATGAGCAGGGTCGCTTCCTGTTCGATGTGAATGTGGTGAAAGTCTACCCCGGCGGATGTCGCGGCTACGGCGGAGGAGGATTTGGCGGCGGCGGTGGAGGTGGTCTGCTCTCGGATCCCATTCCTCCCGTTGCTCCCGTTCCAGTGCCAGTGCCAGTGCGTCCCTATGCTCCCTTTGCCACCTGGCTGTCGCTCTTTGCTCCTGGCATCCTGCAATCCGCCACAGTGCCCGGTGTCCCCCTGCGGGACCCTCTGAGGGATCCCGTTCGTCCTGCCTCAGCTTCTGGGGATCTACAGAGCGATCCTGAAGTGGATCCCAGCTACGGAGGGGCAGCTGTGCCAGTGCGGCGTCCTGTTCCGAATCGTGTTTACTATGATTCAGCAGGAGCGGTAAGTTGGAAATAAGATAACTTACATTTTAGCCTAAACTTCACGTTTCTTTTTATCTTAGCCACCTGTGACACCTGCCCAATTGGTCGGAGGCGTGGCCACAACAGTCAATGGAATTATCCAGCAGCTTACGGGTCAAGTGCAGCCAGTTTACCAGACTGGAGCTTACAGAAGTCAGCGAAGCAGCTACGGATAGGCAATATCATACGAATCTTCATACTCCTAGCGAAGTAGTGTTAATGTAATTTATCCTTAAGAAATAAATTAAGCACGAATTTTGTATACCGACTTTTCACTTGACTTTTTTAAAGGTGGAAAAATATAAAAAATGCAGTTTCAGGTCAGTTAAAAAAGGAATAGATACCATTGTTTCTGATTATGAATAAGAACTGTCAACCTGAAATAATTCATGGAATCTGTCAGGTTGCTTATCGATCCATAAATGGATATTTGTTCTCTTTATAATAACGAAAACGTGTGAAAATTAATTTAAAAGCTTTTGGGATTCGCCAACTTTGCTTCCCCTTTTGTAGGCACTTTACCTCCCAGCTAGATGGATGCGAGGAATTCCCCAGACCATGTCCCGGCAATGGATTAGTCATGACCGCTCATAAATCTCGGATCTATGGCCATTAAATTTATGCAGGTCGCGTCTGTTTCATTAAAGTCAGCGAGAGCAGAGCCGCAAAAACATCGCCAAGGACAATATTCCCAGTACAGAAACCGGATTTCGATTGTCTTAAATTGAGCTTATTATTTCTGGTTTTTTGTATAGTTGTGTATTGTACAATCAAAGTGCGAATCACAAGTACTTAACTAGGCAGCTGGATCATAGGTCAAAAGCTTTTTTAGCCAAAGAAACCACCGCCTCCGTAGCCACCGCCGTTGTAGTATCCATTAGAGTACTGCGACTGGCTATAGTGGCCGCCATAAGATCCACCCTGATTGTAGTAGTTGCCGCCACCGGGATAGAAACCGCCGTGATGATGAGGCCTGTGCCCGAAGCCGGAGTAGCCTCCTCCTGGATAGTAACCGCCACCAAAGCCGCCGCCTCCGTAGCCCGGGTAACCAGAGTAGCCGCCACCATATCCGCCCGGATAGCCGCTGGCATAGCCGCCGGGATAGCCACCTCCTCCGAATCCGCTATACAGGCCACCGCCCACTCCAATTCCGGCACTAAGGCCCACACTGCCGCCGAGTCCACCTCCCAGCAGGCCAAAGGTACGACCCTCGGCCTTGACCGGCGCCGCCTGACCTTGGCCAGCGATCAGCAGCAGAGCCAGCACCTGAAATGCGACCAAATAACCAATGAGCGAGTGCACTCCGAGACAATCGGGAACCGGACTTACACAACTAACACGAACGACAGCCATTGCGATAACGAGCGCTTCTTGGACGAAACTAAATTGCAATTGTGGAGTGCCCGTCGCTTTTATACCTCAGCTCCAATCTGGCCAAGAAGCCCCAAGTACGCGCCACGCATTGCCAAGTGATTCTACGCAAATTGCAGAACAAACAGAGCGAAAGCGAAACCAGTTTGTGACGAAATCTCGGAATCCCCCCAAACAAATCAAGACAGCGCCGAGCGACAATACATTTATCTGGCGATGCTCCACTGGGCCTCAGAACGCGTTAATTTTTGAGGCTACAAAAGCTTTTCAGCCGAGGCCCAAAACCGAAATTATCATTTTTTTGAGGGTTACCTTTAGTTAGTTGCCGGCCGATCAAGATCGTGGAAAACCCAATAAAAATAATCACTGAAGCGATGGCATACGACAATCACCCGGCGATTTTCAAGACCAACCGGAATAGGCGGAACTATGACGATTAAAGTGGTACCCTTCCCGCAGCATGACGATGCTTATTTGGGGAATTAATAAGAGAAGAATAACTAAGAAATAAGTAAAATAACTTATTTAAAATAAATAAAAAGTGTTGATGGATAAAGCACTTACAAGGACCTGGAAAGTAGAACATTGGCTAAGCGAATACTTGCTGATAACTGTTCAAATTGGTCTCAACTTGTTACTGTACTTAACTTATCTTATCTCTTTCATTATCAAACATCAATATTATACAAAGATACCTCTTGGTTAGAGTGTTTAAAATCCACACGATCCACTAACAGCAGACAAAACAAAAGACTTAGACAACGAACGCAGGCGAGGAACGTGCAGCGAAGCAGGTCGGGAGGGAGCGATATGTCCGCCCCGCATTTGTTTGGCTCATTAGCACTTGATACTGATGCTATTCCGGCAGATCTTGCCATATGACTAACTACGAGTCTAATATTCATACATATGTATATATTGTTTGTTTATTCTGGTCAATTGTTACGCCTTCACTTTCGCTTTCAGTTTATTCACCTCGAGCTGACGTCAGCAGAGTTACCAAAGTGAAACCAAGACCAACCCACATCTTGGCTAGTCAGGAAATTGTAGTTAGATCCGATGACAGCGTGGAAAGATGTACATACAGCGTATGATAGATGTTCACAGGTAAATTTATCAAGTTTCAATGGGTTCTGTGACCGGGCTGAAATTGTTGAAGCTTTGTCTTGAATTTTAATGAAACTTTAAAGCGATTCAAAGGGGATTTAAGATGTTCTTTAGGGAATTTTGACTTTTTTAGATATAAGTATTTAATTTTAAAGCAAACAGTACATAAATAAATAAGTTGGTTAAGAGAAAACGAGTCTGGTTTAAAAATTTCTTAGCTTATACCCATTTCAAGATTACAGCTTTATTACCTTTTCTCCTACATCTACACATAATCTTATCCTTAAATTTGATAAAGACTTAAGCTTCATCAATTATTGAGTCTTAGCTAAAGGCAGGTTCCCAATATAATATACTAATGCCATAGAGGTTAATGAACCATCAAGAAATACAAACAAATATGCACAATATTCAAAGTTCTATAATCGCACGCACTAAGTAACTCTGTACTAATGATTATAGTCTCGCATTTGTTCTGTAATTATGCTAAATCTCATTAATATAATTACTGCAAACTTTACTTCCGTTTTTTCGGCTACTATAAGAATGCCAAATTTTAATCCGTAGCCATTGAGTAGTTGTTCGTCAGCCATGAAGGTGGGAGTAACATCAAAAGCAGCTAGATCTTAGTCGCTAATTTTTATTCTCCAATTTTTTTGCAGTTTTTTGCGTTGTCTTTCCTGCTTTGCTGCCTGAGTGCTGCCGGAGTTTTGGGTGCCCCCCAGTTTGGCTATGGATTCTCCCCCTACGGCGGAGGATATGGAGGAAGCTATGCCTCGGCTAGTGCCGCGGCAAGCAGCAGTGCTGGAGCTTATCAGGGCTTTGGATATCCAGGATACGGAGGGTTTGGAGGATATGGAGGATTTGGCGGAGGATATGGCGGCGGATATCGCCAGCAGTACAACCAGTTCAGCAACTACAACAACTACGGCTCCTCTGGCTATGGCGGATATCCATTTGGCAGATGAGCGGGGGAAAAAACGGCTAGTAACTGCTGGAAATTTCTGCCTCTGTTTTGTTTGATTTCTTTATTTGGCTTTTAATTTGATGGAGGTCAATAAAACGTAAATACCCAAGAAGATGATTCATCTGAGTGCGTGCTGATGTGCTTTGCATTAATTTTTCTATTTGTACATTAGCTTTTGGACTTTGGTTAGCTCTGATATTTGCATAGATTCTGAAAAAATAGTACAAGGGCTTATGGTGAATACCCGCTTAAGCTTCTAAATTGGCATATTGTTAATCATATTTCCCACTGACATCCATCCGATTCAGTTCATTCAGTTTTTTTCATTTCTCCCCACATGTCCACGTTTTCTTCTCTTTTTTTTTGCTCTCAAAAAACCTGAAATTTTCAGGGGCAAATCATGTGCATAAGGCAAATATAAACCACAACCTGAAGTTCACAGCGGCGGCAACAACAACAACAAAGGCTGTGAGACAAACAAGAGCTCTTCAACGGCTGATTGCATAAGAGCGATTTTCGAATCTCGCACAAAACGCGTCAGCGAGATAAAAACTCTTGGACTGCCGCGCAGCCGCTTCAATTGAACACGCGTCGTTGTCCAAGTTTAAGCCAAGAGCGACCAGCTTCGTCATCGGCCCACACATTTGAACTTGAAGTTTTTACAACAAGATATATTAATTTTCACAAAGCTTAAAGACCTGTGCTCATTCCCCAAAACAGAGTTAATCAATTAAAGTCGCGTTAAAAACCTCGTAAAAAAATATAAAATATGCAAATCATTGTAAGTGATAGATTGTGATGGATTTTAGTGAGAAAAGATATACTCGTATATATTTTGTATTGTGTGTACTAAAGATGTGGTTGAAACAAAGGTTAAAACACCTTTAATACCACAAAAATATATTTATACCCTTGCAGGGTATTATAATTTCAGTCAGAAGTTTGCAACGCAGTGAAGGAGACGTTTCCGACCCTATATAGTATATATATTCTTGATCAGCATCAACAGGGGAATCTTTCTAGATATGTCAAGAAAAAATCGATTTTTTGGCCATTTTTGCAAAATTTTATAAGGGGTTACATCATTAAAATTTTGGATTTTGATAAAAAATTGAATTTTCAAAATTTTTAAATGAAGTATGCAGATTTATTAACTGTAGAATATCTAGCACAGAACAGTTTTCCGATTTAAAATTAATGCTCTTTTGCTCGGCCAAATATGATAATTTTAATTAAAAAAAAATACAAAATAATATTTTTCTAAGTCAAGGAATCATTTCCGACCCCATAAACCATATATATTCTTGATCAGCATCAACAGGGGAATCTTTCTAGGCATGTCCGGAAGAAATCGATTTTTTGGCCATTTTTGTGAAATTTGATAAGGGGTTACATCATTAAAATTAGCAAAAATGGCCAAAAATTTTGATTTCTTAAAATTTTAAATTTGGTATGCAGTTTTTTTAGGCTTATAAAAACTAACACAAAACCGATTTCCGAATCGAAATTAATGCATTTTTGGCTTATTTATGATATATTTTAATTTAACCTGCAAGGGTATACAAACTTTGGCTGGCCAAAGTTAGCTTTCTTTCTTGTTTTTATATAAATTATATTTCAAACAATGCCACAATTTAAAATTATTGCATCAATAAACAAATCAGTTTGTAAATTTCAAAGAATAATTTACAAAAAAAAAACCCTGTATCAAAAAATAAATAAATATATAATTAAATATTAAACAATTAAAAATAAATTTAAATTGCAGCGCCATCATCTGGTCCTGTTTCTAGGACTATGCCTTCTGTTTCTTCTACCTGACGCCTCTGCCGGCAAATTAAAGTTACTGGCCTTCAAGGGACCCCATGCCGGATTTGTGGGCCTCAAGGTGCGCACACCGAAGCTGCTGGGTCTGAAAAGCGGCCTAGTTGGTGGAGCAGCCGGCTTTGGACTTGGAGCTGCAGTGGGTGCCAAGCTGGGCGCCGGCCTGGCAGGTATCCACAGCGGAGGCGGTGGTGGATATGGCGGAGGTGGCTATGGAGGCGGGTACGGCGGTGGCTATGGAGGCGGCTTAGGCGGAGGCTACGGCGGAAACTTTGGCGGTGGCCACGGCGGAAGCAGCGGCTATGAGCACCATGAATATCACCACGAAAGCCATTACAGCGGCGGATCCGGATACGGAGGTGGTGACTTCGGAGGCGGTCCATGGGGAAAATAGGAATTTAAAAATAGAATTAGTGAAAAGTCATTACTTGCCATTAGAAACCATACAGAAACAGTTATTGTTATTTAGTTGTAATTCATTTGTCCATTAAATACATAATAAAATGTAGTTCTTAAAAGTAAAATTAATTCTTTTATTTTTAAAGGGAAAATCACTTAAGATTTAAATTCGCATATCCTCAGCACCGGTTTGAAAATCGAACTCATAGATAATTTGAGTAAATTGAACATGATATATGTTAATCATCTATTGGCCATTTGATTAATTAAATCTGTAAATGAAAACAATGATGATTGGTAGTGGGTATTTCCTACATGGGTATTTCCTAACTTACAAGTTCCTTCTCACAGCAAATTAAATTTTCTGGACACTCATTGTATTTCTCAAAAGATGATACTGCTTTTCTACATTCAGAATCATTCAGACAGAAGAATTTTCCGTCCGGTCCACAGGACTTCGGAGCCTTGGGAGAGTCCTATTTAATTGTTAATACCGCATTAAATATGAACAATAAGTTTTAAACAAATATGAAGGTTCCTTACATTAAAACAGCAATTTTGGAATGATGGACATCCGTACGCTGTTGAACAACTCGAATTGGTATATGGGATATCTTGCCAATAAACACATCGACCATTTCGGATATAGCACCCGTTTTTTTGGATTGCTGTGCCGATACCCAGAAAAACTGAGGTAAGAAGAAGGGCATGTGGCATTGCCTGGAATTATTGATAAAACTGAAGAAACAGTGAGGGGAAGTTCTCATTTTTATAGCCCTTTTTTATTGATTGAGTTGTTTTGCATCAGATTCTTGCGAATCATTTTTTACATTGATTTCGAAATATATCAAATCAGCCCTTTAGGTGATCTTATCACCTCGTTTTCAATGCATAAGAAAATAATTCTAGGAACATTTGTATATATTATCTAAAAAAAAATTCTAGGAACATATATGTATATTGTCTGAAAAGTCTAGGGGCTTATAAAAACATATAGTAATGCCGATTTCAGATGAAATCATATCGATTGGAAATCTGTCAATTAATCAAAACAAATATCACATCAAAGTCAGCTGATAAGCGATGACCCTTGACTATCCCTATCCGACGTGTAATGCAAAACGAGACCCTATAAAAGGTAGGAAATTATTGAATCTGGTATTAGTTACGACTGAAATTTCCAACGGAAGCATCATTATGAATCCAACACTTTTCCTAAGGTAATTTAATTGTTTTTTAAAATTATATTTGTATTCCTAACCCTTGATCATTTTTCCTCAGCTTCCTGGTGGTCATCATCGGGAGCCTCGTGTGGACAGCCACTGCCCAAGAGGACTTGGAATCTCAAAAGCAGCGTATAATTGAGATCTTTAAAAATGCTGATGCTGGTTCCATTGGGGAGAGCGACGTCGTCTTTCTAGTGCACTTCCTCGAAAAGCACAGAAATGTGATTCCCTTGACACCCGAACAACAATCCCTAGCTGACGCTATAGTGAGGAAATATAATGAGGAGAAGGCCAAGCAACCTTTGGTGGAGGGTGCACCGCCTCAAGGCGGTTGGATTACCGACGCTTTAAAGAAGCTCGCTGTAGAAGTGGGCCTCGCACTTGCCGAGGCTATAAAGAAAACTTTGAGACCTTAGAAACTTGAGATCGTTTAATGGTTTTTTGTAACATAATCATGTTTTGAGGACTTTATGGTCCCAATAAATTGGAAATAATTGGCATACAGATGTGGTGGTGTTTTTATTTATTGGGCTAATTCTAATCCATGAAAAATTGTTTTTATACTTGTTGTTCCTTGTTGTTCCTTGTTGTTTATTGTTTTTTTATATTTGTCCCTAAATTGGGTTCTCGCGTCCTATGTACCTATTATATTGGCCATTAGTGTATTATTTTTGAATAGGTGGAAAACATGGATAAGCAAGACCGAGTTTTACAGCCCGGTTCACGTCTAGACTGTTATTGGCACTCTCTAATGCTTGTCGTTTCGCAGCCATACGTCAGAAGGTTTCCGTAGTGTAGTGGTTATCACGTGTGCTTCACACGCACAAGGTCCCCGGTTCGAACCCGGGCGGAAACAGATACACCTTTTTTATTTTCGATATTTTTAACATTTTGTAACATTTTGTATAGTTAACTAAGTTTTTTTTTGTAATCTGGTTTTTAAATACGTCCTTAATTTTAAAAGTAAAAAAAACACACCTAATTTGTACATGGAATTAAAAAAAGCACACTGAAATTAATTTAAAAAAATTTAATAAAAAATATACTATGGGCTCAACCGGGATTTGAACCCGGGACCTCTCGCACCCAAAGCGAGAATCATACCCCTAGACCATTGAGCCTCATGCCCGAGTGCGGGCTGCCTTGCAGTTTCGAGGCATCGCAAAAAAATGTCTTATGAAAAACGAAGCAGACAAATATAGAGCGAAGCCATCTGTCTCTAAAAATACCAAAATAAATTATTGCTTCAGGTGGTGTCAACAAAGATAAATATATATTGTTTTGAATACTTTAGCGTCTCTTAAAGATACCGCTGCCATAGCCGCCACCAAAGGCGCTGGCAGAGCTGAAGGAGGAGGCGTAGCTTTGAGAGCCTGCAAAGCCGCCACCGAAGCCACCACCGTATCCACCGAATCCACCGCCCAGACCACCGAATCCGCCCTTCCAGCCGTGCTTGATGGGCACCACTACGGGCTGGGGCACTGGCACGGGAATGGGCTGCGGAATGGCCACTGGAACCGGGACGGGCTGGGGCACTGGAATCGGTTGAGCGACGGGATAGGGCACAAAGTTGTTATAGACCGGTGCATAGCCTCCACCGAACTTGCCGCCAAAGCCGTGGGCGTGAGCCAGGCCCAAGCAAAGCATCAGAGACAGACTCAATAATGTTATCTGCAGGGGAAGTACATCTGTCAGCCAAGACTTAGATATGAAAGTAAGACACGACCACTCACCGTGCTTGTTCCCATGTTGTCCGGTGTTCTAAGCATGACCAAGTCGAGAACGGCCGTATTTATAGCAACCTCCAGCACTTCCTGTACTTCCTTTTCGCGACGAGTTCAAAGAACTGCCAAAAACTTGATTCACAACTAGTTCTCTAGCCAATCGATTTTTATTGTGCCAAATTTTAGTCGCATCAACTAAGGCAAAAATATAACTAATCGTGAGAAAAACATTGAATTCGGTTAAGTTTAGTGGGGGTTGAAGGTCGTCCGTCTGCCGTGTTCCGGGACCATGTGGGCGTGGGTTTTTTAGAACTTTGGTATAAAAACTGAAACACTCGTTGGTTAAGCAAGTCAGTTTTGTTCAAGACGATTCAGAAACATGGTCAAGATCAGAACTTCGGTGAGTGGAAGCAGCCAGTCCTATTTTACGAAATTATCCTCATGGGTCTATTTACATTTTCCAGTTGGTGGTGCTACTGTCGCTCTGCGCCTGTTGTCTGGCCCAGTATCAGTATCCACAGCAGCGCCCATCCCCATCCTCGGGAACTGGAGCCCAGCCCACGGGTGGACAGGTGGATAACCGCATTTTGGGAAATCTGCTTGGCGGCGGAGGTCTTTTTGGAGGAGGCGGCGGTGGCGGAGGCGGCCTCTTTCCCAACATCTTGGGCCTTTTGGGCGGCAACCGACCTCAACCACAAGTAGTGCCTCAGCCCTACCCAGTTCCAGTTCCCTACGGTGGAGGTTATGGAGGCGGTGGATATCCCCCCGTCTTTGGTGGCGGCTACACTGGAGGCCTGGGAGGCGGTTTTCCTGGTGGCGGCTTTGGCGGTGGATTCGGCAATCCCTACGGCGGCGGTTATTATGGCTAAGCTCAGGAGTTGCTGAATTCCCCAAGTATTATTTGCAAATGTTTTCGAGATTAGTCGTTTAAGTTGTTGACATTGACCATTAAATTAAAATTCATGTTAAAAAAAAAAATAGTGTCCGGGTTGTTTTCACTTTGGCTAAATGGTGGACACAAGGGGATGTAGCTCAGATGGTAGAGCGCTCGCTTAGCATGTGAGAGGTACGGGGATCGATGCCCCGCATCTCCAACGGTTTTCTTTTTTTTTCGTTTTGCTCAAAAAATAAACACGTTTATTTTGTTTTAATTGTTTAACATACCTTGGAGTTTCATTCGCTAAATTAAAAATAATTTTGCATTTCATTTAGTGATATCGCTCGCAGCAAAAATTGAAATACGCAAATAGCAAGACGGCAGCCAAGCGGCTCAATGGTCTAGGGGTATGATTCTCGCTTTGGGTGCGAGAGGTCCCGGGTTCAAATCCCGGTTGAGCCCGTTGATCTTTTTTGTTTTAAATTTTTTATTTCTATTTTGTTATTAAAGAAAACGATCTAAATTAATTGAAATAAAAATAAAAAAAATAAAGAAAAAACTATAACACCAATTGGAGATGCGGGGCATCGATCCCCGTACCTCTCACATGCTAAGCGAGCGCTCTACCATCTGAGCTACATCCCCGATATGCTAAGGTGTGTCAAATGTCCTAGTTGTGAGTCATTACTATGCTTATGCTCTAACTGAGCAATTTAATTTGTCGATGGCCACGAGCAAAACTTGTTTCTTGACCAAGATAACGACTTTCAGCCTTGAGTGTGCTTGGCTGTTTGAAATTAGATAAGAAGTACGCAATGCGGGTTCGTTGAAACCAACTTATGCATTTAATTTCCGTTTCCGGTCAGTGAAAGTTGCCCAAAAGAAAACACAAACACCTGGCAATTGGGTCTGGGACATCCTTCTTGGCCATTGTTGCCCCAGGACAAACACAAATAAACTCGTGCTGGAGGGAAATGGACTGAGATGGACAGGAGTCAACGCCTTAACATGTGGGGAAGCAGATACCGATGCCGTTCTATCTGCGATCCCAGTTACCAGATCCGTCCACTATCTGCACTTTCACACTTCTGTTTATTCAACTGTCGCTTGGTTGGCGCACTTGTTTGTTTGTTTGTTACGGCCACGCCCCTGGGCACGGGCAACGCTCTATTATTATTTTCGCAAGTTATATAAAAATAATAACAGAGCGGACTCCGAGGCAGAGGCTGCGGCTGCGGCTATGGCTACGGCATGGAGCTGACCAGCCCGGTGGATGGCCATCCATTATGCTGCCGGGCATTTATTTGCCAAACAATTGAATCGTCCTCCTCCTGCTCCTTGGACAGCTTGCAACCACTTCATCAGCCATCCCCGTCCTCTTCCTCGACGGCAGCTATCTTATGGTTTATGATGGAATCAAAACAAATGCCGGAGCAGCGTCGTAGCCGGAGCTCATCCTTTCGATGGCAAGGATCCTGATGATGATGATGAGTTTGTTTATGCAGATTGCTTGTGGAGTTTTTCCTTCGGCGTTAATGGATAAATGGGCATGTGAGTGTGTGCGTGGGTAACCCTTTTATTCCATTTTTAAGGAAGCGCTGGGCCACTTTCGAAATCTAGTTGGTAATGTCAACAAAATGATTTTAATTGCACATCTCAATGGTTTTCGTTTAATTTTATTGATACTAGCTGGGGCCAGGGTGTCGAGTACTATGATAAAAATTAATTTGTATTGAATATTTGTAGTTTTCTTAGGCAAAATTTAAAATATAATATTAAAAACTTTTGAAAGCTGATCATTATGTAAAGAATTAAATACTATATATATCTTTTCTGATGTAATTCTCTTACTCAGAGCAAAAAGTTGGTTTTAAGAACCATCAAAAATTCTCCTTTTAACATTTCTTGCACTTTTAAAAACCTTTTATCTATCATTTAAGTTTGCTAATAGGGCAGTTTTTGATTGCTTTTTGTGAAGAGTGTACATCTCTTTGCTTCAATTTTTTTTTTGTGCACACTTTTCAATTAAAATTGTATTGTTTTCTTTTACTTTGTCTGAGTTGTTTACTTAGGCGAGCGTTTCCTCAGGCTCCTTGTTTTCCGGTTCATCCCAGCTGTGGTAACGGTATTGGTAAAGGTACTGGACGTTGTCCTGCTCCCGCGGAAGGTCCAGACGGTCCGAGGTTATATCCAGTGGCGCTGGCCGATGCGGCGCCCATTGTTGAAGGCGGCAAGATGCCAGAAGGTGGCGGAGGCAGGGGCGCTCCAGGTCGTAGTGGCGATCCACCGCCAAAGTAACCATAGCCCAAGGGAGCCCCGGCTGAAGCAGAGTTCTGATCGCTCTGGTAAATATACACATTGCTGTTTCCCTGAGCCTGCTGCTGATTCAGGGGCGTGGTGTAAAAACCCCCAGGAGCGGTGTAGTAGCCAGGCTGCGGTCCAATGGCCGCTGGGTTGCAGCCGTAAATGGGGCAATTATAATAGCCGGATATGGGATAGGCGGGACCGGCAAACAGCGGATCCGGATTATGATAGGCCATCCAGCGATTGCGCCAGCGACGGAACAGAGTTCCCAGAAAGAAGAACGAACGCCCGTCGATAGGTTCCGGACCGGAGGATTCTACATCCAGATCGGGATCACCCTCGGACTCCACAGCACCACTTCTGCTGCCCGCCAGGATCATCAGAAACACAAACTGGAGCACTGACATCTTTCCAACTGCATTGATGAAAGTCTCTAAGTAAACTGCCGCCAATTCGATCTCCGCTGTACCAAACTGGAGCAGTCGAATGAAGACCCGGCGCCTAATGGGCCTTGTAATGAGCATTCGAGTGCTGTAACTTCGTCAAAGCCAACAAACCATGAAGATGTATTTAAATTATATGACTTGAAGGCTGCCGTGGCAATGTATTATAAACAGGTTAGGCCTACAATTCGCAAACTGTAAAGTTTTTGAAATAAGAAATTTAATTAAATTAAGATGGACTTAAAAACAAAGTTCCCAAACAAACTAATTTTGTATTTCAAGCTTATGTGTAATAATAAATTCGGTCTAAAATATTACCAGGTCCAAAAATGAGCACCCATATTGATTTCTGGAAGAGATATTTTTTACCGGTAATGTACATATATCTTAAAAATAAATCAGTAAGAAAATATATATGTACATATATGAGTAAGTGATTAGACATAAAAACAATACTAAGAATAGTTTATATCTTATAAATACAATAAATAAGCCAAAAAACTAATCTTATACAAATTTTCGGCATTAGCCGATGAGGCGTAGGCTCTGAAGTGGTGAGAAATGCAGCACCGCCCACATCGGGGATGTAGCTCAGATGGTAGAGCGCTCGCTTAGCATGTGAGAGGTACGGGGATCGATGCCCTGCATCTCCAAGAGGAACTGTTTTTTTTTTATATATTTATATAATTAAAATTAACAGTAATTAACGGGATTTAAAAAATATACAGAACTTTATCCCCTACCACCGCCCTTGATGTTTCTTTTTACAAAAAACCGCACGTTTCAGCAATTTTTCATTATTAAACGCAACGAAAAAACTTCAAGTTTTTTACCTTTGCTGCATGATTTTATTTTGCCACATTACATACTTTCTGTGAGGACAAAAAAAAAAACGATTTGAGTTATGAGTTCTGCGTGCCAGGTGTACTAACAATCGGGACACTTATCAGTTTACAGATTATGCGACAGGGAAACACCCTGCCAAGCTGTGCCGCCAAAGTATATTTCAAATATTCACCGAGCCCGCAGAGAAAAACCCGCATACCCGGCCTGCCATTGGGGGCCTGCGAATAAAGTGTGCAAAAAACAGGTGACAACAATCAGTGAGAGGTGAAAAAAGGGAGAAAAGCCTGCGCCCGTGTCTGGAAAAACAAAAACAATAACCCCACTTAGGGCTGAGAAAATTCACGGGCCCGTGAAAATTTCGCACGTTTTTATGGCTTCCATGAATAACTTCTTATGGCCCGAACCAACCATCCTTGGAAAATGTGAGTAATGGCCACATAGATTAGCCTGCGACCGTTTGATTTCTCTCCATTCCCGAAAATCATTTAATTAAAAAAATATGCAAACTCAACGGAAAAACTACAAACGAATTAAGAGGGCGAAACTTTCCATAAACTTTGTTGCCATCAAAACAATAAAAACCACAATCCTCGACCGGACTCTGCCTTTGTTATCGAAGCTCGAAACGGACAATGGACAATGGCCGGGTGTCCTTTTTTACGACAAAGCCAAATCCGGCGGAACCACATAAATTATGTTAATGCCTATGCCATGTACACGCCCACTGTGTGGGAGCCCGACCGTTCTGGCCGGACTGTCCGTCCGGATAATCAGAAAAATACACAGCACACACATAGGTTGGACAAGGGACATTTGCTTAGTGGTTGTGTGCGATAGTTTTTGTGCAGTCCGTTGAGAAAATTGCTGACAATTGCTAAAAATCCTCGGGGTGACAATGAGGACTGGCTCAGTTCTTGGAAGGGGGCATTGGAACCTTCCAAATAATATATATATATATACTATATGTACGAACACATGTCGGGGCGGGAACTAAGCTAATATTGGTTGGGGGGCAAAGTCTGGGCAAATATTACTGGTTATTTTGGCGAGTTTGCCAAAGTTTGAGATCATAAAATGGAGCTAGTTTTCAACTATAATATCCGATAAGTGAAAGCCAACCAGCATCCACAGCAGAAACACACAAAAATATAAATTCTCGAGAGGAAATTAGAAGAGGACATTGCTGTATCCGACTTACAAAACACAAAGGACCCACAGACAGGACATTGGAAATTAAATTCATAAAAATATTTATACTTCCAGATATGTGGATGTTTATACAGTTGAAGTTAAAATAATAGAATTACTAAGAAAATTAAAGACAATAGAAAACCAAACAAAGTTTTTTGGGACTTAACTGTGCTATATATTGATTTCTACAAAACTAACCCTTTAAAGACACAAATAAATATACGAATACGTTAGACTAGACTTCTTTATTTTTATAAGGAAATATTTATTTAAAAAAATATATTTTAAATATTAACGATATGCCAAGGTCTACTATTATTTTCACCCCAACTGTAGGCAGCTTTGTTCAGCTTGTCTGAAGTTGGTTTTTGTTGCATTGTTTCATAATTATAAATATACAAATAAAGCGCCCATTGGGCTTGAGTGCGTTTGAGTATAAAAAAACAAGATAAGCCAGAGGCGGCGGCGAGTGCATGTAAATAAATTGAAACAAATAAGCTGACTGCTGGCTAATTGCAGGCAGTTCCCGCGCCATTTCTCTGGAAAAGCGAATGAAATTGAAAAGCCGTTCGTTCCATTTGCAAGGCAAATACGCGTCGCCCTCGCATCTGCGGGCATTCTTTCCTTTTTTTTCCTCCTTGCGGTGGACAACATCGCAACATGCTGTCGAACATTTCCGGCGGACAGCGCCGTTCGTTTCCGTTATGCAACGCCGTTGCAAGGACAACAACAGGTGGACGTGGGCCGGAGGATGTGCGCGTGGGTGGCGAATCCGTTGCCAGTGTTTACGCAAGCCAAACTTTTTGTCAGCTGTCATCGGGCAGACGTACAAAAGAAAAACGAGAGTTTTTCCCTTTATTATCCCGGTCTCAACAAGTCGAAGGCTCGAGGAATGACAGCTGCAACGTAGTGCAATGAATGTTCGGCAGAAAAAATAATATCGAACTTAAAAAAAAAGAAAAAATACGTTGCAGACAACAACCTTTGTTGCTTGAAGGCCCCGGCGAGATTCGAACTCACGATCTCCTGTTTACTAGACAGGCGCTTTAACCAACTAAGCCACGGCGCCACTTGCGGTAGGGTCAAAAATTTCGAAACTTAGGTGGAAGAAAACTATTTACTTATTAAAAATACCAAAAATACTTATAATTGATTAATTTAAATAAATTTTAGATATATGCATAGGATTTACAAATTTAAAATAGAGGAAATACACTTAGTATTAGTTATAAAAATAAATTCAATACAATTCTTAGAAAAGGCCGTGACGTTGTACTTTTGTTCTACGCAGTGTAACCAAAAACTTTAAAATCAAAATGAAAAAAGTTTTAAATTATTAAAATTAAAAAGTATGTTTTAAAAAAGATGAAAATTTTAACATTTAACAAAAAAAAACTAATCACGTTATCATTGTGAAGGCCCCGGCGAGATTCGAACTCACGATCTCCTGTTTACTAGACAGGCGCTTTAACCAACTAAGCCACGGCGCCACTTGATTTTCGTGTGTCCAATGAACGATAATTGCTTCTTCTCTTTTCAACTTGGATAATTTTCTTAAAATTTAAGCGAAATAGATCTTCAAACCCAAATATTTCGATATGTAAGTTATTTTATTTTATATACTTCAAATGTAAATAATAGTCTTTAATAGAAAATGTGAAAGTATTGACACCAACCAAATATTATTAATAAAAGCCAAAAATTATTATATTTAAGAACATTTTATTGAAATTAAATTTAAAATTAATAATTTGTATTCACTTTTGCGGTTGAGGCACGATATTTCGTATCTTCTCGTAAATCAGTAGATACATCAGGGAGTCCCCGCCAATCTTTATTATATTTGCCAAAGGGGAATAACATATGCATATAGCTATGTATCATAGCTGTGATTAGCTGTGCAGTTGGAGGGGAGAAAATCTTGGGGAATGTACTGGAGATGCGTGGGGTTCTTTTGCGACAAAAGAGATCGGGGTATAAAAGCGCCAGTCGCTCTTGAGAAATCATTCAGACTACAAGACGCAGTCCAAGGAGTAATAATTAAAATGGATTGTCAAGCGACAGGAAACCCCAAGACCGGACAGGCTACCGCCCAATGTGGAGTCAAGGTGGGTGATGATCTGGCCAATGCCCGGGCCGGGGTCTTTGCCTCCACTCCTGGAGCAGGTGGACCCGTCACAAAGGGAGTGTATGGAGCGGTGAACGCGTAAGTTTAGACATTTTTCCCTAAGCTTTTATAATTTTGTATTTTTCTTGAAAAGCAATGGGCATGGCCTGTCCCTACAGCACGGTCACATTGAGGGCTTGGGCAGCACCACCACCGTTGCCGGCCAGGCGAATCTACACCATAGTCAGAGCTCCTCACTAAACGCCACCGGATTCCACAGCCACAGTCGCACTCACGATCAGTTTGGTGGTGGTTTGAATCTGCAGACTGCGGCGGGTCACCAGGCGGCGGTGGGGATGAGTCGAGTGCCGCAGTTTGATGTGACCACCATGCAGGCGTCCGGCAGGGCTAATCTGTACACCTCGCCCAGTGGCAATCTAAACCTCAATGCCACCGGAAATGCCACTCACCATTTGAGCGGTCCTCGACGCGGCAAGTCTGATTTTGGCACAGGTCTTAACCTACGATATGATTTCTGATTTATGACCTTTTACAACTGATTTAACTGAGTAATCAAATTTTTAATAACTCAAATAGACTTAGTCTATCTAATATAAAGTCTATCTAATATAAACTTTGAAAAATCACTGAAAATATTTAGAAGTCATTCAGAAAGAATCCTAAACGTGGGTGATTCCAATAATTCGCTTTATATTTTCTTTTCCTTTCACTAACCTCCTTAATAGAACCACCCAAACTGCTGTCAATATTCGCATCGATTTGCCATAATTTATCAAGTTGAATTCGCACAATAACCTTAGCATTGAAGCCCCAGAATCTACAGCCTCCGACCCTTAGCTCCTCCACAGAGATGAACGCCAACCCATGACAAACCAATTTTTGACTAGTCAGCTACCCTCAGTTTTTTTATTTTTTGCAATTCGTGCAGGCAGCGCATCCGTTAAGTGCTATAAAAATAATTCAAAATAAATTGCTTTACATAAAAATTTGGTTTCGGCAAAAAACGAGCAACTGTTTTATAAGGTGTATAATTTGGCCATAATAATGCGCATCAGGGCAGCACCCATCGCGACGGGGTTGGTTATTAATTCTTGGGCGAGACATAAATAACGCGTTTTATGCGTAAATATACTTTGCATTTCTCGCAGACGCCGGGAAGTCCTAGTTAAGCCGTAAAAATTACACCAGAAAGTCGAGAAGCTCAAGCCCAGAGTCCTGCCACCGCAAGTCATGTCAGCTGGCCTAATCCTCAGGTAGATATCCGCCTTGATTGGCCGCTGTGAAAGATGCCGAGTCAATATTTTTGATATACCCAAGGGGCCTGTCTGGGGATTGTGTGAGTGGGATAAACGCTGACTTGTAATGTCATGTAATTAGGGTCATAATCGGCTTGCCACTAGAGGCCATATCTCGCTGCCCAAAATGGCTTTGTTATGCAAATGCCGAAAGATGGGCAAATAAGGCCAAATAAAATCTTATTGCTTAAACATTTAAAGAAGTATTGGCATTCGAATTAAAAGGATGTGGACTTCTTAAAAAGTATCAGTATATTTAAGATGCTAAGGTGAAATAAGCAGCAGCTTTGCAACTGTAAATATACCTGAAGATACTAAGAAAATATAAGTTATTTATGTTAAAATTCCCTTGCATTTAATATAATTTCTAAAGACAAATAAAAATAAGTTTAAAGCCTAGTTTAGCTTCTACCAACACTGGTGTTTCAAAAGTCCCTTCCTTTCAATACTGACAAATCAACAAAGGCTCTTCGTTAACAACCGTTTCCTTGACAGCCAAAAACCCGGACCGGACTAATAAACATTATTTATTATCATCAAGCCGTATCAGTATTACATGTCCTTTTGTCTAGCTGAGAAACTACTGGGATTTATTCAAATGGATTTCACGTACTGCGAATTCCCCAGCACCGTTTCCATTGACACCTTCAAGGCCTATTTCAATCTCACCGATGTCAAGTTGCCCAAAGTCGGCGGTAAATCATTGGACAACAGCCAGAACCCCAGTGAAGTTCAGGAAGGCCAGGCAAATCAAGCGAAAAGTCTGCGACATCTCGTCCTCGACGCCATTGTTGAGAATTGGAGTGGTGAGCACTTTGGCTTTAAACTTTAAAGTATATTTTTGGTTGCATTTAAAAGTAATTTAAAAAATATTTTACACATTAAAATTTTGAAAGCTTTTTCTCTATTTAACTAAAAATATTTGTTTATTTAAAACAGTTTTGAATTAATTATAAATTACTCAAAAATAGCTAGAAATCTTTTTAAACCAGACATTGCTCATCCGCAGAGTTGCCTCTATACCAGCAGCTGAGGCGGCGCGAGGACCGCAACTACCTGCTCAGCCACCTGGACACTCAGTTGCCATTGCAGCTGCTCAGTACTTATATCCGCGAAGACTTCTTCTGGCAACGCTGCTATGGCCAGCGCTGGAGAAGCGCCCCGTTGCAGGCGCGTGGTCGGGAACGGCCCTGGATTAACATCTACATGGAGCGACATGTACAGGAGTTCATCGAGAATATGCAGACGAGCGACTACGAGCAGGAGGGGAACGTACAGGTCGCCCTGGACATATGTGCGGCGTACATAAATCAGTTGGATATAAGTTTCCTTCAACCGGCCCCACCCACAACCGATGCGAATGGTGAGTGGAGTGGATTGGTCACGAAGTGGCTATACCCTCGGAATGTGAATATTTACGATTTATGAGAACTTGAGGTTTAGAATTTAATAGTTTGATAATATATTCTTAAGTATGCAAGTTAAAAAAGTTATAATTAAACTTAAAAGCTACTCAAAGAAGCTTCGTAATTCGTTTTCCCAACTACTAGGAAAACCTTTTCCACACCCAAGCCTTAACTTTACCTGGTCTTATCTGAAGCACTTGCCACCCATCTGCAGATCACATTCCACTTGATTACCTGCTGAGCAATCTGCCGGATTTACGCCAACTGCGACTGAGCTTCAGCACCAAGACGGCTGGCTGCAATTATCAAATGGGCTGCAACCAGCTGACGGCCAGGGACATTATTCACTTGGCCAAGGGACTCAGCCAGTGCCATGAGCTGCGGAAGTTCAGCCTTCACAACACGAAACTGATGCCGTATCAGCTGCGATTTCTGGCCCACAGTCTGGACAAGGGATGCCACCACCTGAGCGAGATGTCCCTGCTGCACTGTGCCGTGGGGGATGCGGGAATTCGCTGCTTTTTGGAGACATGCAGCAGAGAGTCCTTTAACACGCTCACCATTCTCGATTTGACCAACAACAAGATTAGTGAGGAAACAATATAGAAATATATAATACTAATATAGTTTCAATACCTCCTAATCTTTTTTATTTGCAGCTGAAGAAGGTGCCTACATACTAAGTCGTACCTTAAAGCACGTTCCCCTGCAGCGACTTGTGCTGCGCTTGAATCCCATTCAAAGCGACGGAGCTGCCGCCATATTCAATACCCTGCAGGTCATGCCCATCAAGGAGCTGGACCTGGGTACCTGCGGGATAACAGAGACCATTACAAAGCTATTTATGATGCTGGTTTGTCAGCACACGACCTTGCTGGACATTGATTTATCTAACAATTCTGTGGGAGAGGTGGGTACCTGGCCTCTTCAATATCATTTAACTTAACAAAATATACTTTAAGGAATTTGGCAAACATCTTATGAAAATCATAAGCTGCAATAAAGTCATCGAGAAGCTGGACCTACGGAACACGGGACTATCATTGGAGATGCGTAAGAAATTTCAAGAATTTCTTGTCAAAAATGTAGAACGCAAGAAGTACGAGGCCCTGAAGCAAAAGCAACGCGATAAGTTTAAGGCCATGATGCAGCTATAAATAAATATGAATTTAACATATGTATAAATATATTTCAATTTTAATATATACTCTTAATATAAAAGAGGAATTTATGGTCACAGTTCAATCAAAATATTGACGATGAGCACCGAGACTGTGTGCAATACAACTACTGATGTATTAGCTAAGTTTAATAATTAACTCAAAGCCACTAAAGTTTGCCTTAATATGATCTTTAGTACTAAGATCTCGCCTCTTTTATAACTCCCTTGGAAGCAAGGTCGATACCCAGTTGTACAACGATATGCCTTTCAAGTTGTGTAAGCCAACCGCCTTGAGCCGGCACACCTTCCCCCAAAGGTTTCTTGGCCCTTCTCCTATTGTATTGCCTTACTATAAAGTTAGCTTCGGATCGTTGTTCGATTGTCAACTCAATCTCATCAATGTACTTGGCCAAAAATTCCACAAGAAAGAGGACTTGGCTATCCCCAATGGAACCAGAATCAGTACCTTTGAAGACCTCAATCACACTTTTCCTATCAGTTTCAAAGTCCGGTTGGGCACCAGATGTCCACACAAGGCTTCCGATAACGACCACCAGGCAGCTGAGGAGAAATTATCAAGTATCAAGTACATTATATAACAAAGGAATTGTAAATTACCTTAGGGAAATTGGAGGATTCATTTTGAGGCTTGGATTATAGAACCTAAAACCAGTTCCCCTTTTATATTGCCTAGTTTCTCATATACGACAGATTGGGGTCATGGGTTCACGCTTATTAGCTGACTTTATATATTCTATTCCATGAATTGATATGATTTCATTTGAAATCCTCGTTTTGTATGCATAAGCAAATAACATTTATATCATCGGAAAAGTCAAGGGGTTAGTAAAAACTTATAACGATTCAGAATTAATATTAATCAAAGGTTGTATTCAGCTTTTTAAGATCGAACAATTCTGTGCAATTCTGTGTTAGTCATCAAACTAATTTCATCGTTGTATTCTAGGTCGTGATAATATTTTTATACGATTTAACTAAACTAAACGTTTACTAAATATAATACATAAATACTAAATATGACACATAAAGCAAAAAAGAATTATTTATTTCTTTGAATATTCAGAGATTAAACCCTGACCGCTTGATTTTAAAAATCTTAAATCAACCCTATGGGTGATCTTGTTATCTCGTTTTCCATTCATAAAAAAATTGTTCTAGTAACAAACTTAGATTATCTGAAAAATCTAGGTGATTATTTAAAATTTTACTTATTCAGATTTCAGATGAAATCATATCAATCTGATTTCTGTTAATAAATCAAAACAAATCTCACTTGAAAATCAGTTCATTGACCCCTATCCGACTTGTAATGCAAAACGAGCCCTTATAAAAAGGCAGCACTCCTTGAAGCAAGCATTAGTCTCGACTGACAATTCAATCGGTAACTACAACCTCAATATGAATCCTACAATTTCCCTAAGGTAATCTAAAAGTTGTTTATTTTAAAGTATTGTAACCCTAATCCTTGATAATGCCTTCTCAGCTGCCTGGTGCTCATCATCGGAAGTCTTCTGTGGACAGCCAGTGCCGACTTTGATTCGGATAGGCAACGTGTGATCGAGTACTTCAAAAATGCTGATCCTAGTTCCGTTTCGGATAGCCAAGTCTTCTTTCTAGTGGAATTTTTGGCCAAACACATTAATGATATTGAGTTGACAACCGAACAACGGTCCAAAGCTGAGGATATAGTGAAGCAGTACAATGAAGAAAAGGCCAATCCCTCGGTGGCTCTAGGCGGTTGGATTAAAAAACTTGTAAGGGCGGCTATTGTACAACTGGGCATCGAGCTTGCTTCCGAGGGAGTTAAGAAAGCAACGAAATCTAAAGACTAGAGATATTCTTAAGGACAATGCGATCCCAATAAATTGGAAATTATTAGCATTTAAAAATATCTTTGTGTTTACTTATTTAGCTTATTCAGTTATTCCTTCCCTTTTCTTTTTATTATATAATTATAAGAAACTGTAAATTAAATCAAAACATCATAAAGTTAATTTCGGTTACCCCAACACTGATTTGGTAAATATTCTGTCTGCCTTACATGCCATTCTCATTAGCCAGCCAGCCAACTCCCCCACTGAAATTGGCTCCCATCAACGGAAATGTTGGGACATCTCACTCGGCGTATGAACAATCTGCTTCGTTAGAATTGAGTTGGCCAAAATGCTTGCAAAATGAAAATGTTAAAGATTAGCCAGCCTGGGGCTATGCCGTGTTTTAGTATACTATTTATTTGTAATAATATATTAATTAAAATAGAAACAAATGTTAAAGAATATATTAACTCAAGAATTCAGAAGAAAACTATAAAGGAAACTAACTTTAGGAAGATCAAATTCGTATAACCTTACTGTTTTCCTTAGGATCATGAGCAGCGAATAAAAAATAGATCATAACTAAGCTAAGCATGCATTAAATTCAGTTTGGAAAGCTTTTCTATGCTAGTTTTTTTAGGTTAACAAATCTGCTTAATATATTATAATTTTTAAGAAATCAACATTTTAGTCAGTTTTCCAGAAATTTTTTGACTTATTTCTATGTGTGTTTTGTGCGATTATTATTTAAAGTTATTATTTATTCAAATCAACAAAATATACATTCCAAATTGGATAACGAAAAAAATTAAAATAAAAAGTCAAGTCTGTATGCCAATTATTTCCAATTTATTAGGATCGCATAGTCCTTATAACATCATTATGTTACAAAAAGACTTAAAAAACAATCTCAAGTTCTAAGGTCTCAAAGTTTTCTTCAATGCCTCGGCAAGTGCGAGGCCCAGTTCTACAGCGAGCTTCTTTAAAGCGTCGGTAATCCAACCGCCTTGAGGCGGTGCACCCTCCACCAAAGGTTGCTTGGCCTTCTCCTCATTGTATTTCTTCACTATAGCGTCAGCTAGGGATTGTTGTTCGGGTGTCAACGGAATCACATTGCCGTACTTTTCGAGGAAGTGCACCAGAAAGACGACGTCGCTCTCCCCAATGGTACCAGCATCAGCATTTTTAAAGATCTCAATTATACGCTGCTTTTGAGATTCCAAGTCCTCTTGGGCACTGGCTGTCCACACGAGGCTTCCGATGATGACCACCAGATAGCTGAGGAGAAATAATTAATGATTTACGAATTCAATGGAACTATATTACACATTAACTTTACCTCAGGAAAATTTTGGTATTCATACTTAGGCTTCAGTTGGCAATGTCAGTCGTAACTAATACCAGATTCAATAATTTCCTATCTTTTATAGGGTCTCGTTTTGCATTACACGTCGGATAGGGGCTAGGGATCACGCTTATCAGCTGGCTTTGATGTGATATTTGTTATGATTAAGGGGGTCTTCTCATTGGGCAACTTTTGTTTTTCGATTTTTTTTTTTTGCATTTCTTTATAGCTTGGGATGGTGTGTATATGTCCCCAAAAGGATTTTTATAAATTCGAAATACTTTAGAAGATACAGCCTTTTTTGTGAAGCAAGATCTATGCAAAATGAGCTTTTTTCAAACTTCAAACGCGTTTATCTCGAAACCACGTTTTTCGAACTGGCGGCCATGATATCTCCAGTTCAACTGAACCGATTTTCATGAAACAAAGTGGAATCGACGCAGAATTGTCACCATTTTCGGCTGACGGAACAGATTTTTTTTTAATTTTTTTTTATTTTTTTTTTTACACTAAACTACAAAAAAAACGCCCGAAATCGAATTTTTTTTTGAATGGCCGCCATTTTGTTTTAAAATTTTTTTAAAAAAATCTGTTCCGTCAGCCGAAAATGACATCTATTCTGATTATAACCCTGTTTTTATTTTTCATTTCGGACGCTCTGGAGACCCTGAATCGTGGCCGCCAGGACGACACCTTTTTTTCGACCACCAAGTTTGAAGTCTCATTACTCTTTGAACAACCCTCGTATCGAGGCAAGAACAACTTTTTTAGTTACTTTGAACATTTTTGAATACAATAAATAAAAAAAGTTTTCAATTATTCTTTGCGTTTTCAAATAAGAATTTTTTTAAAAAGGGTTTAAAAATCGGCATTTGAATGAGAAGACCCCCTTAATTGACAGATTTCCGACTGATATAATTTCATCTGAAATCTGAATCATATTCATTTCTTTACAAACACCTAGTAATCATAGTATAATTATGTTCCTAGAATTATTTCATATTCATTAACAAGAATTATTTGAGATATTCCGAAATCAAGTAGTCAGGGCTTAATCTCTGATTATTCAAGTGACCTTACTTATTTCGTTTCTTGCTTTGTGCATTGTATTTATTTTAGCAATGTTTTCTATTTAAGTTTTTACTGATAATAAAACGAAATCAATTCGAATTAAAATACTAGCTCCATAAATATAAAAATTGATTCCATAAAGGGCTTTCAAGCAAAACAGAAATCTTTTGTAACGAGTTAAGATAAAATCGACCTTTAAAAAACGGTTTGCATAATTGGTCGGTTGCAAAATCTATTAAAACCACCATCTCTGATTCTTATTAAAACTGAAATCTGAGTTTTTATTAACACCTTGACTTTTCCGATAATATACATGTTCCTAGAATTATTTGCTTATGCATGGAAAGCCAGAACGAAGGAGGGATTCAGATGAAATCATATCAATAAAATTTTTGTTAATTAATCAAAACAAGTATCACTTTAAAGTCAGCTGATAAGCGTGAACCCCTGATCCCTATCCGACTTGTAATGCGAAACGAGCCCTTATAAAAAGGCAGCACTCCTTGAAGCAAGCATTAGTCTCGACTGACAATTCAATCGGTAACTACAACCTCAATATGAATCCTACAATTTCCCTAAGGTAATCTACAATTTGTTTATTATATAATGTTGTAAACCTAATCCTTGATAATTCCTTCTCAGCTGCCTGGTGGTCATCATCGGAAGTCTTCTGTGGACTGCCAGTGCCGACTTTGACACGGATAGGCAACGTGTGATCGAGTACTTCAAAAATGCTGATCCTAGTTCCGTTTCGGACAGCCAAGTCCTCTTTCTAGTGGAATTTTTGTCCAAACACATTAATGATATTGAGTTGACAACCGAACAACGGGCCAGAGCTGAGGATATAGTGAAGCAGTACAATGAAGACAAGTCCAAACGCTTGGTGGAAGGTGCGCCGGCTCAAGGTGGTTGGATTACAAAACTTGTAAGGTTGATCATTGTACAACTGGGCATCGAGCTTGCTTCCGAGGGAGTTAAGAAAGCAACGAAATCTAAAGACTAGAGATATTCTTAAGGTTTTTTGTAACATACTAATGTTATAAGGACAATGCAATCCCAATAAATTGAAATTGGCATACAAATGAAAAATACTTAATAACACTTTTGGACTTGGATAAATAATGACTTTAATAAATAATCACGTAAAAACACAACTAAATGATTTGAGATTACGACATTGATCATAATCATAAAAGTGTAATATTTTTCTTTATTGAAACTGCTCAAACATGAACACGGTTATAGATAAGAAGCATCTGTTAGCGATTAAGTCCCAGACGCAGTCCATGTCTAGCACTTGTGTGCATAGCTATAAGAAACCGCCACGTGAGCCTATGTAACAAGCAACCCGAAATATGACCTCCTGTGAGCGGTCTAGGTTTGTTCAAGATATGTGCCTGTGTGCACCCTTATCTCACTTAGAATATTTCTCACGATCGGGAACTGTCCGATGCGTGGGTCTAGAACTAAGATCTACAATGCACATTCTCATGTTAGCTATATAAGCTAGGATTGGAATGAAATAAAATCAGTTTCTTACAAAAACTCAACGAGTGAAGACTTCTCATTTATTTGGGGTTTTCAGAAACTGAATTTGATGCTTTATTGGCAATAGTGACTTTTTTAAACTTGAATTTGTCTAAAAAAAAACTTTCATGTAAAAATTAGGTTAATATCCATTCAAAGAATTCAAATATTTCCGGGGTTTTTGATGTTTATTATGATTATATTTAGAGATCCAATTGGAACCTGCAAGGGTACATTGACTTGCCGAAGTCAGCTTCCTTGATTGATATAACCACTATTCGTCACAAATTTCGATGTTAAAAATTATTTAGTTGAGGCGAAAACTTAGTTAAGATTTATTTTTGTTTAATTATATATTAATGACAAAAACATTTACTATTAAAAAATAAGGAAAGCAAGAAAATATTTACATATTTTTCCTAGTTTTAAAATTAGCTAAATAAAAAATCACAAAAGCCAAAACTCTATGTCGATTATTTCCAATTTATTAGAAACACATAGTCCTTATAACATCATAACGCTATAAAAAAAACCTGTACGCTGTCTAGCCCTCAGACCGAGCTCCTTTTTTAATTTCCTCGACAAGTGCGACGCCCAGCTTAATAGCGAGATCCTTTAAAAGTTTGGTAATCCAACCGCCTTGAGGCGGCGCACCTTCCACCAAAGGTTGCTTGGTTTTCTCCTCATTGTATTTCTGCACTAGAAATTCAGCTTCGGATTGGAGTTCGGGTGTCAACTGAATCTGCTTGCCGTATTTTTCGAGAAATTCCACCAGAAAGACGACCTTGCTATTTCCAATAGAATCCGAAGTAGCACTCTGGTAGAACTGAATCACTCGCTCCTTTTTAGATTCAAAGTCCTGTTGGGCACTGACTGTCCACACGAGGCTTCCGATGATGACCACCAGGCAGCTGAGGAAAAATGATCAAGGATTGGGAAAAACAATAAATTTTACTTTATTTCTAGATTACCTCAGCAAAATTGTTGACTTCATATTAAGGCTTCAATCGAAACTGATACCTATTCCAATTAGTTCTACCCTTTTATTAGGCCCAGCTTTTCATTATAGGTCAAAAAGGCGTCAGGGGTCCACGCTTATAAGCTGATTTTAATATATGGTATGTATTCTATTCCAGGAATTAATATTTGTTTTGTGTTTAAGCAACTCAACTATAAAAATGCTAATGACAGATCTGTATCTGTGATGTCAGCTAACAACTGAAATCAGTAGAAAAATTAATCAACCGCTGGACTTTTTAGGTAATACTGAAATTAAATTCCTGAATTTGAAGATTAGTAAAAAAATGAATTAACCCCTTAGACTTTTTAGATGATAATACACTTGTTCTTCGAATTTTTGCTTATGCATTGAAAAGCGAGAAGCTAGATCAAGTCTTTATCTCGGCAATGATTACTGCACTAACTTAACATTATAATTTTGAATTATTTGATAAAGGTATCCAGTGACTTCTAAAATTAACCGCATTCCCAAAATAATATTATATTTATTCAAAGGGTCTGTTTCCGCCCGGGATTGAACCGGGGGCCTTCCGCGTGTTAGGCGGATGTGATAACCACTACACCACGGAAACTTCGATGAGATTCTCGGCGCTGTTAGAAAATTTCAATTCGAATATATAACTTCAAATACCAAAATGGATACATTGGAAAACCCAGCATGGCATGGTTTCAACTTAAGCAGGAAACCGTCAGGCTTTCAGGCCAGCTTTCATTAACCCTCGACCTTGTTGACTTAAGTCAACAAAAACAATGGTAGTCCCATCAAGATGGCCAAGGACCCAACTCCCCTTCTTCATCTGTCCTTTCCTAATGGCTTCGCCCAAAAAACAACAACAACAAAGTGAAAACACTTGAAAATGAGTTGGAAAAAGGTAAAAAGTTGTTGAAAAAATAAATAAAAAGGATAATTCAGTTTGTTGCTATTTTAGTGCCTGTTGTTGGTGGCCTTTCCCGGCTAGTTTGTTTTTATTTGCTTTCGTTGCTCTTCTTGGCACGCAAAGTGTAAAAATTGTTTGTGCTTTCGTTAATGGCACTTTGAGTGCGGTTGGGTCAAGGGTCACAAACGGGGGTTAAGGAAACTCTGAAAGTATTTGCAATTAATTGGATTAATTTTCATAAGCTCAAGAGGTTGGCTGTAAAAGATTTCAAAGATATTATAAACGGTTTAAATATCTTTAAACTCCCAAGATATATTTTACATCCCACACATCATATCTAACACATCCAGACAGATCGCATCCATCTGCACCTTTATACTCCCTTGGTGCGAGGATTCTGCTATTTTTCAATTAAAATCAAATTGTATTTTTGTCTGGAGCAACTTTTTACCCATTTTGCGCTTATTCTTTTTTTTCTCATTTTGTTTATTTAGGACCTTGTTTTGTTTATCTGCGCAAGTAAAAAGCAACACTGTGGAAGACGAGACACTGCCAAGGGATATATGTATATACAGACATACAACATACATATATGATAATTGCGCTTTAAAGTTTGATATGTGGACAAAGTTTTTTGGCTAAAATGTCCAGGCCAAGACCCTTGGCTGTTGTTTCGCCAGCATATTTAGCAGCTCATAAATCTTCAATGGATTCAGTCTTGTGATTTATTGCGAGCCACGAACTTGAACCAGCGAGAAGAAAAAGAAAACTAAAGAAAGAAAATTGCTAACCAAACTGTGGGTAGAATGAAAAGGCAGAGAAGCCTTAAAGTGAAAATAACTTTAGCATCCAGAATTCTTATTTTATTCAAAAGAATTTTCTTAGCAGCTTGTCTCCTTCATCAAATTTAATTTTTCCCTTTACCCTTTGCTAATCCCTTTAAATTTTCTCATGCCAACCTCAATTAGTTTTCCGCCTAATTGTCATATTTTTCTTTTTCTTTGGGGCTCTGCCCGCTGCCCAGTTAATTGCATTTGGTGTGGGAGTTTGGGAGTGGCTATTTGTACCATAGCAAGCCCTGAAAACTTTGGACAGTTATCATCATTATTTATGATATTTCTTTGCATTTTTTCATCTATTTTTCTTCCCCCCAAGCAAGGCGAAGGGGTTAAATGCGCCAAATGGGCATGCAAAACTTTTCAAATTAAATTAAAAGCATGCCCAGAGCGCCGGAGACAAAACAAAATTTGATGAGTCAGCTGCCGTGCTGTGGAAAATAATTGGAGGACAACTGCAGTGTTTAAAAGTCAATAAATCAACGATCTGCTGATGAGGGTAAGTTGGGATACAAATTTTTAAACTCTAATTAAATAAAAATACACGAAAAAAAATTAACTTGGAGATGCGGGGTATCGATCCCCGTACCTCTCACATGCTAAGCGAGCGCTCTACCATCTGAGCTACATCCCCATGATGGAAAATGCGATTTTTGAGGGCAACAAAAGAAGCTATTAAAGGTGAGGAAACACCTAATGAGATCTTAACCCTTAGCTGACATCGTACCTTTTTTATTTGAATTTGTTTTAGCGTTTTAAAGTATGAAAGTCAATAAATTTAAGACTTGTTTTCAGCTTTTCCTATTTGCAGCTGATTGAAATGTTTTATAAATAATACAATAATTAATCATCTTATCATTTAATTTATTATTTATTTTATTACTTTAAAATTTAATTATTAATAGACACCACTATTACCCAAAGACGAAGGGTTAATAATATTATGCATGCTTGCAGCTAACTAAAAATTAACATATCAAACTGGTTGGACCAACTTCATGGCCTTATTATGCATTCAAAAAATGTATTTTTAGGCTAACCAAGCGAATGAGTATCTTCAAGATGCATTCGTGGTTTAAGAAACCAACATTTTCGGCTGTTATCAAGGCGGCTCAATGGTCTAGGGGTATGATTCTCGCTTTGGGTGCGAGAGGTCCCGGGTTCAAATCCCGGTTGAGCCCGCAACATAACTTTTTTTGCCCCTCATCTCGATCATGAGAAGAAGGGTGCTTACTCCCCGTAAGAGTAAACAATAATCATTTTATACATGCTGTGACAATGTGACTTTATTGCCAATACAATAGATAAAAATTCAATTCAGGATTGTGTTCCGTCGGAGCCTGACGTTTTTATGATTATTTCACTCCTTTATATGTGTTTTCTGTTTGGTTTACTGGATGAAAAATTTGCATATCCCTGGAGTCGGGGGGTGTCCTCGCATATGACAGCCCTGGGAATTGCCCCCCAAATGCCAGGACGCAATCTCAATGCCAATCGCATGATGTGCGAATTGCCACAAGGACCCAGCGCTCGTCCTGCCATCCTCTAAACAATAAAGAATAATCTCCTTGGCGTAGCAGAAGTTTGCCTAAGCATTGGAATGTGCCACGTTTTATTGCTTGTAATTTGCATGCAAGTTGCCATTGAGTAACTTTCTTCTTTTATCGCCGACGCCGACTTTAAGGCGCTCAAATGGGGCATGCGATTCTGGATGAATTACTTCAAGGAGTTAGGAAGCGCTAAGTGCAAAGTTCGATAGAGTAAAGTTGTTAAGCGATTAATTATGGACATGTTAAAAAGATATATATTCTTAGGACTAGATAGGCTCCCTTCAATTTACATTAAAGCCTTCAATTCAATCTGAAAAACCCTTTGACAGGTCCTTAAAATATCTCCAGTGAAGTATCTTTCTATCAACAATGGTCCAAGCTCTCGTTCATTCCATCCTGACTTGCTGTCAGTGCGTATTAATCAGCAAACCTTTTGGCCGGACAATATTTGCCAATCAATTGCCACAAACACAAATTGTCCATTTTCCTGTTGCCTTCAGTCGCCGTCGCCTGTCGCCGGAGCGGAAGGAATTTTAAAATTCAAATATAAAATAAAATGCCCAATTGAAGGCGGTCACAATGAGTTCAGTGTGCCCGGTGACAGCGGCAGTCAGTCAGCTTCCACAGTTTCCACAATTTCACACCCACAAAGGAGTCCCAAGATGATGGTGCCAGATGGGGGACTCTCCTTTTTTATTTTGTATATTGGAAGACCGCAGCAAATAATATTGAAAATCCGTAGACAATTGTGTACACAGCGAGGGCGACAGAATACCGAATGCCGGTCGGAACCCGCACTTGAGGTCGCTGGCTAAATGGGCAAATGAAAATCCAAATGAAAATGAAACTGAAAATGAAAATCAACTGAGTTGGAATGAAGAGCGGTTCGTTTCGTTTTGGTTTTCGGCTGGCTCTTTATTAAAAAACTTTCCCCCAAACTCCCGGCATAAAAATGCCAATTAAATGCAAGAATCTGTCCAGAATTTGCATGGACTTTCGCTTAGGATTTTTCCCAAGTAATCCTAGACGACAAATCCCACCCACAGCAATTCACTCATTAGCACAAATCATTGTGAAGCATGCTGGCGCATATATCATGGCCAAAACACAACATAAAATGGAAACAAATATAAAAAAGGCGACCAAAATATATGCAGGCCTCACAAATTATGAGCATTATCATCGGGACTCAGGCAGGAATCGGTGGTCAGGGTACAGAAAAAAATAAAGAAGCTGCTGGCCAACCGTAATCCACTGTGGAAATGTACAAATGATTTGCCAGCAAATTGCAACAGCTTTGGTCCTGGGCCTGGTCATTCCTGCTAAGTGGACAAATCTACCACAAATACGAAAATCACCCTCATTATGGCCAAGAGCGTAAAACTCCTCGTTGTCCTCGTTTTTCTTCTCTTTTTCCCCTTTGTGTGTGTGTGTGTGTTTTGTTATCGCAATGTCGACAAGACCACTGGCCATGTTAAGAGACAACAGTGGTTCTCTGCCCTCCACTCCACTCCATCTCCCAGTCGTTGTCCTGCAAAAAAGGCGACAATGTTCACGGGACGAGGCTGGACCGCTGTCAGCGGGACTGACACTAAAGTGGTTTAGGGCGATAAGATGCCCGTGGCTAGCTGACTCCTCTCGACTCATCCTTGCGTCATTTCGCCGGGCTGTTCTGGGTTTAGTCAGGGATCTGTACACGAATTCCGCAACTCTGCTCCATATGACACATTTGAAGAGGGTGAAGGGTGCTACACGGGATGGATGTTCCCACCGAGAGCTTTAGGAAATATAGTATATATATAATTAAGTTGTGAGTCTTGCAGGCTTTTGGTTGCATTGTGACCCTTAAATAAATATAAAATATCGATTTAAAGTCCTAAAAATTGATGTAATTTAGGTTATTTTAAAGTGATATAAAGGCTAAAAAGCAAATGAAACACAAAACCACATCTGTATGCCAATTATTTCCAATTTATTAGAACCACGAAGTCTCTATAACACCAATAGTTACAAAAAACCTTAAAACGAGCTTTAGTCCTAACCCAGCGCCGCTTTTATAAGTATTGGGACAAGTGTTTTGCCCACCTGTACAGCTAGCTTCTTTAACATGTCGGTAATCCAACCGCCCTGAGGCGGTGCACCCTCCACTACAGGCTGCTTGTCCTTCTCCTCATTGTATTTCGTCACAATATCATCAACTTGGGCTTGTTGTTCGGGTGTCAACGTAATCTGCTTGCTGTACTTTTTGAGAAAGTTCACTAGGAAGACGACATTGCTCTCCCCAATGGTAGCAGCATCAGCATTTTTGAAGAGCTCAATCACACGCTCCTTTTCTATTTCAAAGTCCTCTTGGGCACTGACTGTCCACACGAGGCTTCCGATGATGACCACCAGGCAGCTGAGGAGAAATAATTAATGATTTACGAATTCAATGAAACTATATTACACCTTAACTTTACCTCAGGAAAATTTTGGTATTCATACTAAGTTCAGTTGGCAATGCCAGTCGTAACTAATACCAGATTCAATAATTTCCTACCTTTTATAGGGTCTCGTTTTGCATTAAACGTCGGATAGGTGCCAGGGATCACGCTTATCAGCTGACTTTGATGTGATATTTGTTATGATTAATTGACAGATTTCCGAATGATATAATTTCATCTGAAATCTGAATCATATTAATTTTTTTTACAAACATCTAGATGATTAAAAAGTATAAGTATGTTCCTAGAAATATTTAATATTCATTAACAAGAATTATTTGAGATATTCCGAAATCAAGTAGTCAGAGCTTAATCTCTGATTATTCAAGTGACCTTACATTTCGTTTTTTGCTTGGTGCATTATATTTATTGAAATTTAATGAGAATTTTCCGCAATGTTTTTTAAGTTTTTACTGATAATAAAACAAAATCAATTCGTATTAAAATACCAGCTTCATAAATATTAAAAATGATTACATAAAGGGCTTTCAAACAAAACAGAAAGCCTTTGTAACGATTTAAGATAAAAGTGAGATTTAGAAAAGGGTTTGCATAATTGGTCGGTTGCAAAATCTATTAAAAACCACCATCTCTGATGGTGGAAAGCCAGAAAGTAGGAGGATTTCAGATGAAATCATATAATCGGATTTCTTTCAATTAATCAAAACAAATTTCACTTTAAAGTTAACTGATAAGCGTGGACCCCTATCCGACTTGTAATGCGAAACGAGCCCTTATAAAAAGACAGCATTCCTTGAAGCAGGCATTAGTCTCGACAAATACTGCTAACTGCAACCTCAATATGAATCCTACAATTTCTCTAAGGTAATCTAAAAGTTGTTCATTATATAATGTTGTATCCCTAATCCTTGATCAATTTTCCTCAGCTGCCTGGTGGTCATCATCGGAAGTCTTTTGTGGACAGCCAGTGCCGACTTTGACTCCGATAGGGAACGTGTGATCGAGTACTTCAAAAATGCTGATCCTAGTTCCGTTTCGGAGAGCAAAGTCCTCTTTCTAGTGGAATTTTTGGCCAAACACATTAATGATATTGAGTTGACAACCGAACAACGGGCCAGAGCTGAGGATATAGTGAAGCAGTACAATGAAGAAAAGGCCAAACTCTTGGTGGATGGAGCGCCGGCTCAAGGCGGTTGGATTATAAAACTTGCAAGGGTCATTATACAACTAGGCATTGAGCTTGCTTCCGAGGGAGTTAAGAAAGCAAGGAAATCTTAAAACTAGAAATCTTTTTAAGGTAACATACATATGTTATAAGGACAATGTGGTCCCAATAAATAGGAAATAATTAGCATACAAAAGTGGATATGTGTTTATTTATTTAGCTAATAATAATCTATAAAAAAATACCTATATATTTTTTTTTATTTAGTCTGTTAGTACCTTTTTTCAATTATCAAAAAAAAGAAAAGCTAAGCACTTGAAACAGTCTTTGAAACATAATCAATATTTTGGGGAAACAATAATATTAGTAATATTAATAAAGTAATATAGGTCCCTTGTATTTATTCTGTTCTCAGCTAAAGCAACCATTGACCACAATTATTTTCGTTCTACTTCACTTGACTCCACATCATTCGAGTCGCATCTTCTTCTCTTGGAGGGAGAAGAAACTCATTTCGAGCCACTTCCCACACGCACTTCCCAGCCACCGAAATGTTTTCCCATTTAATGACAACTGTAAATTACTTAGAGGGAAAACTGCTTGGGCAAGCAGAAATCAATCGATTGCCCTTAGTAAGTATTCCTAAACTCCAGTGGCTGTCCTGCTGGGTTTCCCTCGACTCCTGGAACATCCCTCACTGCCGCAGCTCAAACAGAAATTATATGCAACGCATTGTGGCCAGGACTTGGGCGCTCTTTGCGTTTTTCCATTTATTACAACTAAGTAGACACAACAACAAGGCTCAAGGATTCGGATTTGCGCTTGCTGCTACTCTTGGCTTCTTTTTTCGGGGCTCTTCTTTGGGTAGTTTCTGTGGCTAAATGGTTTGAGCGATAAATAATGTCCGTTTGTACTTTTAAACGACTTCCTTTCATTTGTTTTTTTTTTTTTCTTCCTCCCTCGACGACTGTTGTTCAAATTGTTTCAACGCCAATACATAATAGCTGCCACGCCCCGCACACCGACCATCGCCCGAGTAGATTGGGCAGGAAAACAAGCCGTCAAAGATAGCAATCTTCGATTTTACTTGCTTTTTTTTCGTTTTCTGGTTCTTGGTCCTTGCAGGGTTTTCATTTACTTCTTGTTGTTGTTGTTGCGGCTGTTCGATTGATGGTTGGTCTGGATAAGGCCGAATAAAACGAGAAAAGCAAAGGAAATTCGACAGGATTCCCCATGTACACTGAGCTTAAGGAATGTCTTGGGGATTAAATCAAAACTAAGATCTAAAAAAAGGAAAATCATAATTACATTATTATTATAAAATATGAAGCTTAGTTTTTGTTATTATAGAATATTCAATTACCTTTTATTTTATTCAAAATTTAGTTATTATTTTCCTCTGTACTCACTTCCGATCACTGTGCCCTTCGTACCTCTATTGGCTCTTCTTGTTGTGGCATATAAATCGTTTTATTTCGAAAGCGGTATTATTGAGGATTGGATGACGCCTGTAGGAAGTGTTTTTGTTGCTGTTTCTGTTGTGTCGCGCTCAAGGTTCCAGCCAAGATAAATGGCTCACTTAGCTATCCGCACTCTGGGTGGAAAAAAGAAACCAAAACAACGTCATCATCATGATAGGTGTGTGCGGTTTAGCGCTTCAGGATTGTGTGAAAGGAATAAGGAACGTGCCTGGTCTGGAAGGACTTGACAGTTGACTCGGGGGAGCCTAAGACTGACAAATAAAGGTGACTTTATCGGTGGGTTCTTCCCAGCTATTGTAAGGTAAACTGATGGCAAGGGATTAGGCATAGGAAGTTGGGGGTAAAGCAGTGAAGAGGGTCTCAAAATTTAAGCAGTGAAGAGGGAACTTGAAATGAGTAATGGTGGAGCTAAGAAGTAATGTATAAACATCTAAAGATGGAATTTAAAACTTAAGAAGTACCCTGTAAGAACTCAATTAAACCCAACAAGAAGCATATAAGAGACCATCCCGCAGGACCTGTCAGCTTGCCAAAGGACCTCCATTTCATCTTAGAGCCCAAATATAGCTCATCCTACGCCTGCCCAGCATTGTGCACACACAGACACATAAATCAAACAATAAGTACTCTTTATTATTATTATTTGCACTTTTTGCATACACGAGCCACACGGTATTTGCTTAAGCAGCTCCAGCCACTGGCAGCCACCAACAAATATATAATGGAGCATACTTCAACTTGGCTTATTGAATAAGTCAGCAGTGTGCAGTCGGCAGTCGGCAGTCGGTGGTCGGAAAACTTCAATAACAACACTCCCCGACACTCCAAAACTTTGCAGTGACGCCCCGTCGTTTCGAAAATGCCACGCCCCCCCGGGCCCCAGCTAGACATACATACGCCCCCCTGGAAATCTCCGACAGAAACAACATAATTTGCATAAAATTGACGTTAAAGGTTACCAACAGAAGCGGCAGGAGCAGGAGCCACAGCAGCTACAAACATTTACTTAGGCATCTCCCGGAATTCTTTGCTTTTTACCATGTTGTTACTTTTTTTTTTATTTTTGGTGCCCAGAGTGCTCATATTAATAACCTTAAATCAATTCCATTATGCAGGGACCCCGGAAAAATACGCGTTAAATTAATTTTCCCTTTATTTGCCGCAAAAGTATGCGAGAAGTGCAGAAAAAGGGTTGAACAAATTTCCCACAAATTACATGCGTGTAAAAACGAGCGCGTGTTTTCCCTCGCCATTTTTTTATTTTCTTTTTCAGGCGCTTTTTATTTGGCATCCTTCCTGTGTGAGTCACCCATAAAGGCATTCATTTAAGGAGGGTTAGCTAAAAGATCTGAAATTGATCTATATGCACAAGGCACAACTGGATTTCCTTTATAATTACATCTTCAGTTGGGCCGCTCCTTAGGCATTTAAACTAATTAATTAGCAAATTTGCAGGCGTTAAAATGTTCGCCGACAGAAAAAGAAAACATACATAAATCTTGTCACACACCAGGACATCCATCCACACATTGGGAGCTGGGAAATGGCCACGGGGCGTATGGTTTTGTGTGTGGGAAAGGGAAGCAGATTGCTCATACGCCGAGTGGGTTGTCCCAACATTTCCGTTGATGGGAGCCAATTTCAGTGGAGGAGTTGGCTGGCTGGCTAATGAAAATGGTATGTAAGGCAGACAGAATATTTACCAAATCAGTGTTGGGGCAACAGGAATTAACTTTATGATATTTTAATTTAATTTACAAAGTTTCTTATAATTTTATATTAAATTATTATTAATTAATTATTATATAATAATAAATAAATAATCACAAATCTACATTTGTATGCCAATTTTAATTTATTGGGACCGCATTGTCCTTAGAACATAAGTATGTTTCAAAAACACTTGAGAATATCTCTAGTCTTAAGATTTCGTTGCTTTCTTAACTCCCTCGGAAGCAAGCTCGATGCCCAGTTGTACAATGATCACCCTTACAAGTTTTGTAATCCAACCGCCTTGAGCCGGCGCACCTTCCACCAAGCGTTTGGACTTGTCTTCATTGTACTGCTTCACTATATCCTCAGCTTTGGACCGTTGTTCGGCTGTCAACTCAATATCATTAATGTGTTTGGCCAAAAATTCAACTAGAAAGAGGACTTGGCTATCCGAGACGGAACTAGGATCAGCATTTTTGAAGTACTCGATCACACGTTGCCTATCCGAGTCAAAGTCGGCACTGGCTGTCCATAGAAGACTTCCGATGATGACCACCAGGCAGCTGAGAAGGAATTATCAAGGATTAGGGTTACAACACTTTAAAATAAACAACTTTTAGATTACCTTAGGGAAATTGTAGGATTCATATTGAGGTTGCAGTTACCGATTGAATTGTCAGTCGAGACTAATGCCTGCTTCAAGGAGTGCTGCCTTTTTATAAGGGCTCGTTTTGCATTACAAGTCGGATAGGGGTCAGGGGTCCACGCTTATCAGCTGACTTTAAAGTGATACTTGTTTTGATTAATTAACAGAAATTTTATTGATATGATTTCATCTGAATCCCTCCTCCGTTCTGGCTTTCCATGTATAAGCAAATAATTCTAGGAACATGAATATTATCGGAAAAGTCAAGGGGTTAATTAAAACTCAGATTTCAGTTTTAACAAGAATCAGAGATATGGTGGTTTAAATTATTTTTGCATCCGATCAATTACGCAAACTGTTTTTTAAAGGTCGCTTTTATCTTAACTCGTTACAAAGGTTTTCTGTTTTTTTTTTTTTGAAAGCCCCTCTATGGAACATTTGTAATATTTATGGAGCTAGTATTTTAATACGAATTGATTTTGTTTTATTATCAGTAAGAAGAAAAGAATAATTATAATGCACACAGCAAAAAACGAAATGCAAGGTCACTTGAATAATCAGAGATTAAGCCCTGACTACTTGATTTCGGAATATCTCAAATGATTCTTGTTAATGAATATGAAATAATTCTAGGAACATACTTATACTTTTTAATCATCTAGGTTTTTGTAAAAAAATTAAAATGATTCAGATTTCAGATGAAATTATATCATTCGGAAATCTGTCAATTAATCATAACAAATATCACATCCAAGCCAGCTGATAAGCGTGATCCCTGACCCCTATCCGACATGTAATGCAAAACGGAACCCTATAAAAGGTAGGAAATTATTGAATCTGGTATTAGTTACAACTGGCATTGCCAACTGAAGCCTTAGTATGAATACCAAAATTTTCCTGAGGTAAAGTTAATGTGTAATATAATTTCATTGAATTCGTAAATCATTAATTATTTCTCCTCAGCTGCCTGGTGGTCATCATCGGATGTCTCTTGTGGACAGCCAGTGCCCAACAGGACTTTGAATCTGAAAAGCAGCGGATAATTGAGATCTTTAAAAATGCTGATGCTGGTACCATTGGGGAAAGCGACGTCGTCTTTCTAGTGCACTTTCTGGAAAAGTACGGCAATGTGATTCCGTTGACACCCGAACAACAATCCCTAGCTGACGCTATAGTGAGGAAATACAATGAGGAGAAGGCCAAGCAACCTTTGGTGGAGGGTGCACCGCCTCAAGGCGGTTGGATTACCGACGCTTTAAAGAAGCTCGCTGTAGAAGTGGGCCTCGCACTTGCCGAGGCTATAAAGAAAACTTTGAGACCTTAGAACTTGAGATCGTTTTAAGGTTTTTTGTAACATATTAATGTTATAGGGACTATGCGATCCTAATAAATTGGAATTAATTGGCATACAGATGTGGCTTTTTGTTTTGTTGTTTATTTATTTAGCTAATTTGGAATCCGGGTAAAAAAAACCTATACATGTATATTTTGTTGATTTTAAAAAATAATGACTTTAATTTATAATCGCACAAAGTACACATGTAAATGTCAACGAATTTCTGACTGGCATGGCTAGGTTCAGTCGTTCGTTAAAATTGTAAAAAACTGGCAAAAATGTTGATTTCCTAAACATTTTAATATAATAAGGCGATTTGTAAACCAAAGAAAACTAGCATAGCTTAGCTTAGTTATGATCGATCCATGATCCTATGGAAAACTGCAAGGGTATACGAATTTCAGCTTCCGAAAGTTAGTTTCCTTTATTGTTTTCTTTTGAATTCTTGAGTTAATTTATTCTTTAACATTTCTTTCTATTTTAATTAATATAATATAAGAAAAAAATAGTATACTAAAGCATGTTAATTCATTAAACCCACTGCTTACCCCCAGGCTGGCTAATCTTTAACATTTTGCAAACATTTTGGCCAACTCGATTCAAACAAATAAATTTATGCTGATACTAGTAATTTATTTAGTTAACCTTTGACCTTAACCGAAACAAATCCCGAACCCGCAGCTAATTTCATCTGAAGTCAAGCGTGCAAAAGCGATTACCGAAAACGGACTCTTTTTTTCTTAGGGGGATAAAAATAAAAGGCAAAATAATAAACTCGCTGACCACGGAACAAAGTGTTTTCGGTTGGCTGTTGAGCGAGGGAAATGCGATGATAACGCGCTGATAGGACACAAAAAGGGTCCATCCGCTGGATACGGATACAGAGACAGAAACAGCAACTGAAACCTAAACAGAACATAAACAGTTGCCAGAGTCCCTGGGGTGCCATTGCAGCCAATTAGGTGCGTCTGCCGGCCCTTGGACCATCGTCTAGGATCCTTGGGCGCCATGCAAATGTCTGGTATCCTTGTGCGTGAACAGATTATCAAATTAGCGTAAATGTAATGGGCCTCCTTGGGAATCGGATCGCTGACACTTCAAACAGACCCACGACCCATATGCGTTTCGCTGGAAATTTTCAATTTCCTGTCTGCGAAAGGCAAACGGAATGCCAGAAGCCTGATAAAACGCAAATCCTTTATATGATTTAAACGTCCTGGCCTCAACCTTGCTAGTTGACAGCCATAAAAATAAAAAGCTCGTACATTTTATTATTTCACATATGAGAAATACTAGGAGTAAGGGCAACTTCCTTAAAGCCAGAGGCTATCAAATGGCTCACAACTTTGCCCAAAGCCGCTTAAATGTTATAGTTACTTAGACCGCACTTTCTCTCCACTTTTCTCATCTTTTCTCTTATATATTTTTGCTGGACAAAGGTGATTATGATGGGGTTACGTGAGGGAGTTGTGAAAACAGCGTGTGACGGTGTTGATAGCAACTGTTATTTAAATACATATTCATTTTTATTGTTTGCCAAAGGGCTAACTCCAAAAAGGGTTGAAATTGTCTGAGAGGGGAGTTATGAGGGGAAAACTAATAACTAAGGATATGGGAATGGCTGTGAAAGTTAGTAGTTGTATAGAGAATTGCATAGAACACTGGATTGGTAAGGGTATTAATTAAGTTTAAGAGTTGAAATATTATAATTATGAACCGTAGTATCATAAATTTAATATTTTTATATAAAATAAACACTAACACAATTTCCACCAATTTTCTAGGTATTTCAAAGCTGCTAATTAACAATTCCCCCCCTAAAAACCTATTTGCTTACAACACTTAAAATTAATGTCTCACTATTTGCACAACAGCTGTGCTGCATTTGATATTTTTGTCGTGCGGCCACCACATCTCCTGTTGTCCCTCATTCGTCATCCTGCTCCTGGTCAACTGGCTGCTTTTTTTGGCCACTCCAAATGGTATAAAAAACAGAAGGTAAGGCCACTGTCCCTGTTTCCCAACAAAATGCAAATGTTGGTAAACAGAAACCTTTTGTTACTCACTCGCGACAGCTTTCACCGCTTCGTTTCGGTGTGACATATGAGTCGAATATGTTGCAAATTCAATATTTGCCAACAATTTTGCAATGTTTCTTCTTGTTTTTCTTCTATTTCGTTTTTTTCCCTTCTGCTTTTTTTATGGAACAGTCCCAAAACGACAGTTGTAGCTGACAAACAAAAGCAGCAGCCGGAACAATAAAGGTAATAGCAGCAACAGCAACAACAACTTGGATGTAAGGGGAAAAAAATATTAAACAAATAAAAGTTAAAAGCATTTGACGGACCACACACAAAAGACGGGGCTATACAGGATTTTGGGATTAAAGAAGTTGAAATGCTCTTATGGAAGAAGTTTTAATTATTTTTAGGGAATATAAATTCAGGCATATACATATGTTGGTTTTTTATTAGAAAAGTTATTAATTGCCAATTATTTATTTTAAAATTTCTATTCAATATTTTTGAGACTTGTAGATTTTGAGTTAATGTTCTCTATCTAAGCAGACATGGATTTAATTTTGGATCATTTTTTTAATTAATTAGCTACTCTTAATTCCCTCTATAATATCTCTATAGTTTTCTTATAATATTCATATTAATTTTACATAAAACTACCCAAATCCGTTATATTTCAACTTAATATTTCACAAATCCCCTTATTATTACCCAATTTTTTATAGGCAAATGTGTTGCCTGATATTTGGCCACCTTAACCCACTGATGGCCGGCGGGCAACTGCTGAAACTGACCGCCCAGGATGTCTGTTTGCCCTGTCCATGACCATCACCATTCACCCACCGCCCATCCAACGTCCTTCGGCTCGCTCCTGTTAACGTGTGCTTTGTTTAACGAATCGTGCAAATGCGGGTGGAATCGGAATTGCGTTTTGGAATGGGTTCGTTTTTTGGGGATTGCCCAGGCAACCGGAGCTGCAGAGGCCTGGAAAATGATGAGCAGTTTATTTTGCACACTTTTTTATGTGGAGAATGCCGCCGCTGTTGCTTGGGCATTTATTTGATTATTCCGAGTATTTTATTTTTCAATCAAAACGCGGCGCCGCACATTAAATTTTGATTGTTTCTTTGGCTATGAAAATCACAGCCAAAAGTTTACCCCAACAACAACAAATTATTTTGATGGCTACATAATGGCCGGAACACCACGGTAACATCCCTCCCAGAAAAACCATTGAAACTTTGGCGAATAAGGAGCATAAAAACTCCGGGCCCAGGCAAATCGCTTCAGGCATTTGGCCAAAATGATGATAATTAGCCGACAAAACCGAAAAACCAAAGAACCAGCCCAACCACAAAGTAAAAGTCAAATCAAAAACTAAACAAAAGTGCCGAGGAAATTGCCGCGACTCAAGGACTGGGGGGTTGGGGCTGTCAGTCATGTCCCAATGTGAAAATTAACTTGTAAGGGTGGCAGGATGGCAAACACCTCAGAGCTCCCAAGCCGGAGTCCCGCGAGGATAACGATTTACAATCCAGGAATCAGGAGCCAGGAGCAAAGGCGCCAGGCGTCAAAATAAAAACTTTTGCATTTCATGCTCGACTTTCTGGCTCGCAAAGATTTCTTCGAGTGCGATTAAATTGTTTTAATGGTTTTTGTTTCTTGGCGATACTAAACAACAAGGGAGAATGGGGTGGAATGGGTGAAAGAAGCCGCTTAAAGTTTTTGCCATTTAATGGTCCACATTTTGTGGCTGCCCAGGGGGATGATGATGAGGGGGAACTAATTGTGGCCAAAGTCAAAACATCGTTTAGAAGCGTCGTTTATGTTAAATTGTATTTTAATTGGGGACAGGGATAAAGATAAAGATGAAAACAAGCTAAAAAAAATATTTTAAAATTAGATAACACTAATATATATTAAAATAAAACAAAATTTTTCTTATAATAACTTTTAAAGCTCAATGATTTTATTAAAAATCTAGTAAACGTATTTTCTAAACCATTTAGAGGACCCCAAAATCATGGCTTTTCCATTCCTTATCCCTTCCGTAATAACACCTTATTTTTAGTATTCTTATTTTCCTTTTACACAGAAATCTCTGTCACTGCCAAGTTCATTAAAAGCACCCAGAAATTGTTTCACCCTTTGTGAAGTCATCTTCTGGTGGCCACGACTGACCATTCACATGCACGCCGCTCCTCAATCTTTCCACCCTTGTGAACAGGACACAGGCCAAAGGAGCAACCCTGGCTCTTGGCTCTTAATTAAAGTTAAGCCCCAAAGAAAATGACGGCAACAGAAATTAACAATTATGAATTTAACAAGAAATTATATAGCGAAGCAGGCCAAATTAGATTTTTATTGTTTAGAGCGGAATTATGCAAATGTGACGGAGACAAAGGCAATTAACATTAGCCACAAAAAAAGAGAAAGGCCATGCCGGAGATGGAGACTGGCTAAATAATTAATGTTCATTGGGCAATCGTGCGTATGAGTAATCTACTCTACGCCTTGAAAGACTCCATAAACATCATCCTCATCATCATCAGAGTCCTTGTCGTCGACGTCTTGCTCCTGCGGTTAGCCTGGCTTGAGGTTTTGTCAACCTTTTTCGAGCAGCTGGTCAAAGTTTTTGCCAACGCCTCGAATAATTCATGGCGACTCCAGGAAAACAGGACACGAAGGCACGCCTCGAGCGTGTAGCAAACTAATTACCCCCGACCCAGGAGATAAATGGCATAGTTCCTCCTTTCTAAGGACACTAGCCAACTTGTTTGTTTGCCTGTTGTCGACATGTGTGCGTTGTCTGCTCGCCTTTTAATAGTTTCATAAGCTCCATTTAAGATTCGCCGACACATGTTCCCGGGGAGTGGGGTTCGCATACATTATACCCAATCTCAGGCGAGTAACAAAGAGGCATTTACGTTGACATAAATTGATATCCAGAGCGTTTATGTCTTTATTCAGATAAGACAACAGACGAGATGTGGGCGGGCCATTAATTGACATATTTATGAGGGTATCCTTATGGCCGTGATTTGATTAAGGCCTCGAAAGTCATCGTTGGTTATGCTAGAGTGGAGGCAATAGAGTCCTGGCTAGTGCGGGTATAAGAATGGGTTTCTTGGGTTATTTTGTAGCTTTCTTTAGGACATTTTTCTTACCTTTAGCCGAGCTATTCGAATATATAGAATATCCTCTAATATTACCTTACTTTCTTAAAATTCAAGTCCCATTCTATTATATCCCTTAAGCCCCATTAAGTATGATCCCGAAAGAGCTATAATAATTGCCCTAAGCTGAAACGTTATTAAACTAATAATTTACATGGACACACATTGTCGTTAAAAACAATTTCATGCACATAAACATAAAACCTCGGAGATTTATACCCCCAAACCTGGTCACGAACCCATATTTAAAGCGATAAAAAGGTCAGGACCCCCTCTCTATATATTTTTTGTTGTTTGGCTGTTGTTCAGTTTGGCGTAAGTAAACTTATTGAATGTCTTAAGTTCTGCCGGAGACCCCCTTGACCGACCGCCTTCTGCTTGTTTTCATTTCATTTTTATGACAACGTTTAGAAATTTGTTGTACATTTTCCTGTCGCTGCTGTTTGTCTTTTTCTCTGCCGCCTTTTGGCCACATTTAGCAGGCGCCTCCACCTCCACCACCGCCCCCAGATTCCCCGTATTGACATTTGATCTTTATGTTGGTCTTGCTCTATACTCGTGTGTCGCTTTGTTTGTCCGCAGGCATCTTTTTATGACTCGAGTGTGTTTGCCTTTTGGCTTTTGTGCATGCCATAAAAAAGTGCGGAGACAAGAAAAAAACGTCTTGGAAATCAAACTTCTGGCCAGGAGGCGGTGTGGTGTGGGTGCCACGAATATGAGGTCATCTGTTATGAACGCCTTCCCATGGCTTAGGAAGCCCTTGGGTAAATACAGCTTGGGGTCCTGACTAAAGATGCCAGGGTTCAATGAGTTTGACTGCGGAAATGGAAGCTTATTGGGAGTTTCCCAACATTGAAAATATTTAACTAAGAGTTTTTACAAATGAGAGAATATTTTTATTACTTTCAAGTCTAAATTAACTTTACTTTCTATGCTAAATTAAACTTTAACCAAGAATATGACTATCTTGATAGCTTCAAAAAAACCTCTTAGAAACGTTTTTGAAATTTCCTGCCTCCCTTTTGTTTTCATAAATCTTTTCCAACTTCGTTTTCAATTAATATTAAATCAAGCATTAAAATTGAATTAGCCAAACCGAGACGGAGAACAAATGCGGTCTGGTTCGGGGTGTAAACTTGGCAGCAACTTTGGCCAATTAGAAAATTATGTTGTTCGGCGTACAAGGACAATATGTTGCCCACTTTTGGCAGCGTCTTGAGACGGCTGAGACACCCAGAGCCCGCATCCTGCCGAAATAGTAAATATTGTTTAGTCATTTTGGTGAGCGCTAATTTTGTATGTTAGCCGGCGGCCAAAACCTGGCAAAAGTTCAGCTAACAAACAAAAGCGATAATTACAAGAAAACAAGCCAAGGACCAGGAGAGAGATTGGCCGGAGTCTGGGAATAGAGGTGCCAGCCAGGACATCTTGCTGTCGGAACTTTCTTTGCATTAGTTTTGTTAGCGAGAAACCAATGCAAATAATTTCACAAAAATTAAAAGCAGACGCCAGCAACTTTTTGACTCAGACTTAGCTCTATGCCTTATTTATATTAGGAAGCTAAACTCACTGAGAGAAAATATGTATGATAAAACATTATTATATATATATATATATATATATATGTATATATATATTTTTTAAATATTTTATAAAATCAAGTAATTCTAAACAATAATTAACATAGACAGTGCACAGAAAAAATTATCGTGGGTAAATCTAACCATTTCGTGGGTTAAAAGGTAACAACCAAAATCTTGGGTTCCATGAACTGTACGCTGCAGTATAACGACGTAACGCGTTACGTAACATGTACTGCTCTACAGTAAATGGAACCACGATTTTGCGGTTAAAAAGCGCCAAACCACGAAAATTGTGAAATACACTATTTTACTATTTTACTGTAGACTACCCCCGACTACAGTAATTGCAGTTCATATTACCACCAAAATAAAACCAAAAATTATTTTAAAATTTTAATAGTATTTTTTTAATTACTTATTCTTTAAAAATATTTACAGAGGGTCTTAATTAATAATATTTTTTTAATTACTTATTCTTTAAAAATATTTACAGAGGGTCTTAATTAATAATATTATGGACTTATATATATATATTTCCTATATGATGAATAAATAAATTAAATATTAAAATTGTAAATTTATTAATAAATAAATATTAAGTCAAACGATGATTATCAATACTCACAAATATATATTAGTCCATATTTCACATCCTAACTGGTACTTTTGTCTCGACTATAGCTTTTCTGAAATAAAAATTGATTTAAGTAAATTTGTTTATTAAAATTAATAGAAAACGGCCAAATATTTTACTTACATTTTGTTGATTCCATTTACATAGTTATGTTTTATTGTTACATGTGTATACTCTCACCTGAAAACAAAATAGAAAAGTATAAAAGATTTAATTATATATGTATATCATAATAAGATATAAAACAAACGGTTTTTGGATGTCAGTGCCAGCTATCTTGCTCGCACTCGCCTGAGATGGTTGCCATCGCAAGTCAACAAGAAGCCAAAAAATACATTTGCATGCATGTACATGTTCGCTGATCGCTATTTAAATTGTAAAATAAAGAGAGGCAATCAAAGATCAGTGCCAAATATAAGATTTTACATATATGCATATATGTACATATGTATATATTTTAATCTGTACACTAACTTTACTTTTAAAAGCGTTACTTCTTGCGATCAGCGGCGTACGTGTACCTGCATATGTACATACATACATATATGTATATGTATGCATAAATACATATACATACATATGTACATTCGCCAATTGCGGATCTTTAAATGATTGTTTGGGAACTTACCGAGAAATGTGGGCAATAAGTCTCTGAAATCCCACTCCTCCAGAAGAAGGAAGGTCAATATCACTCATAACTTTTACTTTTAACTTTTTCACTTCACTTTTCGCTGCACAACTTCTCGAAACCGACGCCGCTTTTTAAGTGTGCCCGAAATCGTTTTTTCAAGAAACGTTTGCAATATACTAGAAGTTTAGAAATATATACCAGAATTATACCAGAAAGTATTTTAGTGGGCAGAAAAAGTTATGGATTTTCATAAAATATTTAATAAACTTATAAAATGTTAATGTTACTTACCTTGGGAATGCAAAAATACATACACGATACCAAAGAAGATAAAGAAACACATAAAGCTTTTTACGTAAAACCTACAGTATTTTGACTGCAGCTGACAGTCACGACAGTTCGCAAAGCCAACAACAAAAAACACACAGAATCTCGTACGTAAGGGTGACTGTAATTGACTGTCATATAAACTGTCGTGCAGTCACCAAATCCAACAACAAAATACATTGACAGTAGCTTCACTGTTATTCAACCAAAAGAAATTGTTCATTTAACCCACCAGAATTTTTTCTGTGTGGGCTGATTTTTATCAATAAGTATTTTAGTATTAATATCCTTCCAAATTAAATTTTGTTCTCTGTGTGACCCAAGTCGGTTGTCAAAAAGGGTTTCGCAGTTTATGTGGCTGTCTAACGGCATTTAACCTACGCCACTATAATTCACGCCGCTCCTCGACGTTCCCGGCATTTAAATGCAGCGTGCGCGGTACTTTCCCCTCCTTTGGAAATCCAGGATCATCGTCCCGGGAGTCCCACGATAAGCCAAACATGATTTTACGACAATGTTATTACCATCAGCGGTGGCAGCCAGAACAGCAGCAAAACGTTCGCCAAGAGCTGGGGAATCCACGCAGAAGCCTTCCGCCTGTTTTCCGTGTGTTTGTATTGTGTTTGTTGAGTCGTAAACGGACTATGGGGGAAGATGGGAAAATGGGGAGGGACTAGACCCTGGGGTTACACGGATGATGCTGACGTCGCCGTGATTGTTTAAAGTTATGAATAATTAAATATTTGTGCAGGTTACGGGAGTCGGCAACTCTCGAACTTGGTCTAAGGGTTTTATTCCATTAGCAAGATGGATGAACCCAAGAGGAGTGTAGCGGTATACAGGATGTTTCAATGAAACTATGGGTTTTAGGGATAGAAAATATGTAATTGATCGGTGGGAAATGATCTACTAGTAATTGATCTTAAAATTATTCAATAAATAAAATAGGAATAGTATTTATCTTATATTTCCTAAGACATAAAATTATATATAAAAATAAAAAAACTACCATCTGGAGATGCGGGGTATCGATCCCCGTACCTCTCACATGCTAAGCGAGCGCTCTACCATCTGAGCTACATCCCCCCTTGCATTTTGCCCCGCGAAAAAGGTCTCCTAAGATTCCACCCCGAAACGGAAAACAAATATTGGTCTACATCTTGCAGTTCACCTTGAACAAAAACGTTGCCTCGAAAGATAACAAAAGACATCGAAACGAGTTGTTCAGCTGCATAACAAATGGGAATTTCATGTTTCGACTATTTTTAGCTATTTAGGGCCTGCAAGCGGTTGCTCATTTAGGCTACTTGGCTCACGTTAAATCAAGAGGCTCAATGGTCTAGGGGTATGATTCTCGCTTTGGGTGCGAGAGGTCCCGGGTTCAAATCCCGGTTGAGCCCGGATTAATTTTTTTGCCTTTACTCTTTGTATATGTATATTGTATTTATAATATTTTTTAATTTTTAAATATTTTCATTGTTTATATTATTTTATATACTAATATCTTCGGCAGCATACTATACTACTACAGAAAAAATGTTGCAATGAAAATAAAACGCAGTATGCTAGTATTAATTTGTTTAATAAATAAGTTTAATAAATTACAATGTTTTAAAAGCAAAAAATAACTTATCAAATCAAATCCTTCGTTTATAAAAATATGTGAGTATTTTAAGAGTACCCAAAATTCGATTCAACTTCTTTGAGTAACCAGTTTTCTCTTATTAGGTGTGTTAGGCCTTTGTCGCACAATAAACGCCGTCCAATCATGCATAATTATACCCGAGGCACTTTTACGAAAGACGCACGGTCTACGAAATCAGGTTACTGTTTAATCAATCTGTGTCATTGCATTTTGTTTATGCTTTTGGTGTGTTTCGAATCAGTTAAAAGGCCTGATCATGGCCATGAATAATAAACATTCCATCTATTTATAGATCTCTTGCTTTTTGGCCAAAATGATCAAAATTGTAATCCTTGCAGCACACAAAATCAGGTACCGTTATATGGGGATGTAGCTCAGATGGTAGAGCGCTCGCTTAGCATGTGAGAGGTACGGGGATCGATGCCCCGCATCTCCAAGTTAGATTCTTTTTTTTTAATTTCTTTTATAAATTTAAATGATCAATTTATACATTTTTATTGTTTGATTTTTGTCCTTCAAAATATTATATTATATTTTTAAGGAGTTTGAAATACAAAAGGCGCGGATTTTAGCATTTTGTTTCTTAGTGTACAAGTATGATTTTTTTAAGGAGTCAATTTAAAAAAAATAATGTTAAAAATCTTATTTTTTTATTAATAAAAACTAATACAAAAAATTTCCAACTGTTGGAGATGCGGGGCATCGATCCCCGTACCTCTCACATGCTAAGCGAGCGCTCTACCATCTGAGCTACATCCCCATGTGATCGCAGCTGGACAAAATCGCTTCACAGTTCACAGGGTGTCCAAGTGGAATTCGAATCACTGCATGAAACGATCTGAAATCAAAGTTGCCCCTCAAAACGACTGGGAATAGGAATGATTGCTAAAAACAACCTGAAATGAAACAGCCCAGAGTTGCCCGCCACTTTCCAAACCAGACAACACCCAATTAATTTACGCAAAATGTTTCGTTTTTTCATAGCTTTGCTTTATTATTTATTCACTTTGATTATAATTTAAAAACTGTCAATATTTACACTTTGGCGCAGGTTTATTCTTCCATAAAAATAACAAAACGCAGACTCACACAAATTGTCCCTGCTTCTTGTTCTCTCCTTCGCATTGTTTTCCAGGATGTTTGGCGCTTGACGTCCTTTGTCTTCCCCTCACAGTCACCTGCCAGCTGATGCATATAATTATGGAAATTTAAAAGAAACCCCCAACAGACACCCAACAAGCCCGAAATGAAAAATCGACTCGAAAAATAAATACAAGATGCAAACCAAATAAAAATTTGATAAAAGCAAGCGCCAAGTCATTTGCATAAAGTCAAGACAATAAAAGCGCACATTCAAAATTTACGTGCTTATTGGTTTTCTGATCTATGTATTTCTCTAGCAATCAATAAAATGTGAAATAAATAGAATTGTACTTAAAATAAAAATATGAATACAAAGGGTATTAATTATTATAGGAGTGTTTTTCAGTAAATATTATTAAATATATTTAATGTTACTAAACAGTAGTAATAATATTATTATGGTGAACATTTTTATTGTCAATTTCTGACAGGCCACCATTTAGGTTTGCTGCCAGCAATTTTGAATGACCGCCCAAGTTTCAGCGAGGTGGCAGCACCGCCCATCGATTCACTCTTTTTCTGACAATCGATAAACGCATCAGCTGTTTCTAGTCGCTCTCTCGGATTTGTTAATTTTTTGTTAACGTTCTGGCGTATTTTCTTTTATTTATTTTAGTTTTTGTGCTATATTTCGGTCAAAAATTCAAATCGGTACGCCTTAATGTTCTCAGGAAAGCCAGTGGCTCGGAATTCGGTCGTTTAAAGCACCAATCAGTACAAAGTTAGCCGGCGCGTCGCGGTTGCACGCATGTAACCCTAATCACAATAATAAACATTTCCTACCAGCGCAATAATGCCATCATAAGATTATTAAGTTTGCCCCGACCATGAGTGAACAGCAGCCATCGGGGGACTCGGCTCCGGCGTCGACTGGAGCGGCCAGTGCCGGAGGAGGAGATCCGGGCTGGTCGGGAAAGAATGCAGAGCGCGGGTCGGGACACACAGGTGGTCCGCCAAATCAAAACAATTGGCAAGTACTTCCTTATTGAACACATATTACATGAAGATTTATTTTAGGCAGGACATGTCAGGCAGAATAAAGGGTTGCCTAGGAAACGTATTTGCACATCAAGAACAAACCTGCCTTGACCTGAGACAACGTTTTGTAAAAACAATTGTAACAATCTGTAGGGACCAGACATTTTCACATCTTTCTGGGGAATATTTACGAACAAAACGAAAGTTAAACTCCTTGAGACTAAAATGTTGTCAACTGTATTGTAAATACCTCATTACCTTGGCCTTACGGTTATGTTATGTTATGTTTTGTCAAATGTTGGTATCATCTATTGTTCCAGATGCCTAAACACATATATTTAATTATTGAGCTAAAGATAACTCAGCTTAAATTCAAAATATCCTCTTTTTAAATGGTTTATATATCTGATGTTCTTCTGTATTTGAAGACCACCAACTAAACTGCCAACGTTAGCATAATTTTCCCTGCTATTTTGCAGGATTTTGGTTATGATAATGAGGTTGGGGCCACTCACGTGCTTACTAATTTTATGACGACCCCATTCCTGCCGCAGCTTCTTCTCAGTATCGCATAAATATAATGTGTTGCGTACGAGATTTTTTGCTGCCGCCCTAACGCCTCGTTAAATAGCTTACCTAAACGAATTTTTTGCGCTCTGTTTTGCATATTCAAGTGGTCGTATCCTGTGCGGGCTTTTGAAGTTGCCATTACAGAATATGGAAGTCGTCTTTATAGAACAATTTTGTTTTAAGAAATGTAATAATGACATTGATAATTATGGGAAAAAATGGAAATATGATGAAGGACTTTTAAATGCTTAAACAAAAAGAAGACTATTAGTAATCTATGCTTTTTCCTTTTAAAGCTTTATTTAAATTTTATTTTGTATATGTTAATTTTAATAGATATCTCCCCTTTAAGAAAAATATTTCCCGCCACTTTACACCCATGAAATATCATCAAATTATTAGGCTTTATGCCATTTGGCACCCTCCTCACACCCTGACACTTGGCAACATCTGCTGGCAAACGAAGAAAAACGAGAATAACAAAAAACGCTCATAATAAATATAAAATGGCAAAAACGTGTCGATTTCCTATAACAACTTGAAAATGATTTGTTTCACAGTCTGCGGAGCATATTAACTTCGATTTCCAATTCACAGCAGACTTTTCCACATATCAAAACATAGCATATGGATTGCGACGAGGCGACGAGTGCGACCTTCTCCATCCCGCACAACTACTTGGCCAATTTTTTGCCAGTTAGGCAAACGCAAAATTCCATTTAGGCCGCAAAAGTTGCCAAACAACAGAGAACTCTGAGTAACAGACACTGTGTTTGTTTGCTTGTTTGCCGGAGCGACCGGCTTGTCTCAATGACGTTGGTCCTTAGCCATAACCTGCGGCTCTGCCGGCTCCATCTTGCTAACCAAACAGGCCACCGACTCCATCGTCCAAGACAAAGGACCAGATGCCCGCCATCAGCATTTGAAAAAAACTCTAATTGATGGTCCTGTTGGCTGGAACCTGCATCTTGACCATTTCCGTTCGTCCACAGGACATGCATGTCTACTCAATTTTCCGGCAAATGAGTCGCCCCGCATCGTCCTCAAGAACAACAAAAATTGATTGGAATTTGCAGCAAGCGGATACAAATTCTTGCTCCACCTTTTTTTACATTTTTCTGCTACTGTTTTTCTCTATTGAGTCTTTTTTTTAGCCATTTTGCATTTTTGTTTTTTTCGTTCAACACGTCAACACTTGTCTGTTGTGGCTTTTGTTATTTTCCCCCCTTACTAACTCATTGTCCTTTACCCTACAGAAGTGAACACATTGAGCCACTCATAAATGTCAAAAGTGAGGTGTAGATTTGGCCAAGGAATATAGGTTTGATGAGAGTTATATTATAAGAAATACATCCTTAAAATATTCTACCACATTCTGTTTACTAAAGGAAAATATCTTCATACAAAACCCTGAAATATTTTAAAAGGAAAGTATTTTCGATTAATAAAATTTAGTATTAAAGTATTTCTTACATTGAAGTATTGCAATCTAATCTACTAATTATTTCAATGGTAATTAAATATAAATATCTAAAGCAAGTCATAGAGCATACCTTCATCGGCTACTTAAATTCTCTATATTTTAATCAAGCGAAATTCCTTTTAACAAAAATCCCAATAAAAAGTTTTTTAGCCAAAAAAATGGGTACCAAAGGAATTAGTGTAATTAATATGCTTCAGCGTCACATGTTTTCAAACCGCTGTATTTTTTCGTAGCTTGAAACAAATGAGCATACAAAAAAAATCCAGAAAAGGTAAAAATTAATTATAAACAAATCTTTTCATGTCACCAACGGAATTTTCGACACTTTGGCGCATTTTTCAGCTGCCCAAACCCAATTTGACAGCAATTTCTACGGTCTCCCTTACTTTTTCTCTCCCATTTTGCCGACCACTTCCCCTTCGGAGCAATTGTTTAGGGTCACTCAAAAGCACATTTCACTTATTATTAGCTCATTTATTACCCACCAACAGCGCCTGACCCTGGCAGCACCTGGAAAAACTTTGTGAAAAATGCTGGCCAATACAAAAGAGAAGAAAAAAAATATATATAAAAAAGAAAGAAAAACCTTCCTAAAGCTCTCCCGTTGAATGTTCTCCTCCCACTTTGGGGCACCTTAAAATTAACACATAAATTTTCAAGTGGGTGGCCAACGGCCTGTGGCTATCCATGAGATACTTTGGGTCCTGCCTGCCTATATACAGAAGAGTAGTTTAAAAGAGGGTGAATGGATTTTAAATATCTGTTTATTCAATATTTTACATGCGTATTTTTATCAGAAAATAATTATTTTAATAATGTTGTCTTACCCCTCTTTCATAATTTTGAAAATCGAATATACTTCTAATAAGTAAAAAATGTTTAAAATTCAACAAAACATACCCCCTTTATTGTACGCCTCTGATTTCGGCTTGGCCTGTCATTGAAATTTCCGTGTGAGTGCGTTCAATGTTCAGGAGGACACCCCCCACCTGCCATTCCGCCAAACTCTCCGAACTGGGCAATTGACGTTGAAACTACGTGACGTACGAACGTAAATTGTATCTGCGGGATTGCTGCCCATTGACAGTGACTTTCCTTTTCTCGTTTTTTTTTTATTGTGTGCAAATTGGCCACCACCTGACTTCCCTTCCCTCCGACGCATCACTTTTAATTATAGACCACTAAATTAAAATCCTTGCGGAATATACAAAGGCAGGGGGTGTATTTATAATGTCTGCCTTCATTATCAACTCAAATGCAGGCCTTAAGAATAAAAATCAACTTTCTCACTCCCTTCGAGTCGGATGACAAAAGAAAACCCACGACGGCTTAAGAAAAAGTAAAGGAAGGACCTTTGCAATGCGGAAATAAATAAACGTCGCAACTTTTGCGAGAACTGGGGGCAGGGGCACACATTTTGAATAACAAAATTAACAGCAGCCCCAACTTGCAATGTCTCACAACCTCTATTCCCTGTTTAGTTATGCATTTCTTTTGGCTTTCTTTTATTTCCCTTCCTTTTATTTTAATTCTTTATTTATTTATGATTTTTTTTCACATTTACAGGCGGCAGAACAACTCTATGCAATATAACTCGCGACCCTGGCATCGAGGCCGTGCGGACAGGCAAGTTTTCCTTTTTATTTTCCCTTACTTTTCCTTTGTTTTTTTTTATCCCTTTGTGCCATTTGTTTGTTTGCCTTGCGTGAGTTCCTTGGCTTAACGCACGCTTGCACCTTTCCCGGCTAAGGACTCATCGGCAAGGACTCGTGGTTGGGGCGATCCCCAGAAGGCAGCCACATTATTAACACTTGACTAAATATGCATTTCTTGGGTGGACGCCGTTGACAGCCCCAGGAGCGTTAACAAGGTTGGCCACAGCAGGCGGGAAGGGAAAAGGATTGGCAAAAGTCACCCAAGGAAGTTGCTTGGATTTTTTTAAAATTCGGGTGTCTATTTTTTGACAGGGAAATGGCTTATCTCTTGTTAAAAAAAAGTTGTCAAGGGAAATAATAAGGATCTATATTTTAATTTGGAAATTAAAACCTTTTGTAAATTTTAGTTTTAAGTCTTTCTTCAAATTTTGTAGCAAAATTGACTAACTGCTATTTGCAAGTGAAGTTAAAAACCTTTTAAAAATGTAAATTGATTCCTAAAAAAAAAATATAACTTTTTAAAATAGGTAAATTAGATATTTATATAATTAACCAATCCCCCAAAACAACGTTATTAAAAGAACCAAATATCTCAAAATTCAACATTTACATGCAACATGCTACACATTAGGCATATCTATTTAGTAAAACATTCACTTATCCGATTTTTGTTCACGGTTTTTTTTTTGCGAACGCATTCCCAACGTGTAACGGTAAATCGTTACCCACCACCCGCCCGACCGACGCGAGGGGCGACAGCCGCCTAACGTACGGCTCGCAGATCCCGATTACGGCCAATGTCCGGACTTTGGCCTCCGTTCTCAGTGATATTTTCGCGCACGCGTTTAGCAAGTTCGGACACCCATTTCCTAAGGAACACTCGGATAATTTTGTTCAGATCGAAAAAGTTAAAGCGGATCACATGCCCCGGATAGAGCAGACAATGCCAATGTTTAGCTCTCGGAGCGGGATTTATGAAAAAGTTAGATGCGAACGATTGAATTTGAATAGGTTGTCTTTCCTTTGGGCCCTAATGGTTCGGATTCGGAGTCTTACAGTGAATGTTATTTAATTGTAATTGATCTTAAGACTAAATATTTCCTATTTAGATGCATTGTCCCTAGTTTGTGATGGTTTAAGTAAGTTTAAGGTGTTCTAGTTTCAGAGACAGATATGGCTAATACATTGACTAACGGCATACATAGTGGCCCTACGATTGGTTACATATCGCTTGATTGATTGTTGTTATTAGTATACTTGGTTATGACATTATATATCATTGCTTTGATTTTTAGCCGTGTTGGGGCTGGATTTCGTCGTTTTGTACCGCTTCAAGAGATCATTTTTGTATCCTTGCATTTGAGGTCGTGCCACCAGCACTTTCTTCTGCATACGCATGGTGTTCTACTTACAGTAGGTTCGAATTGATCGAACTGACTGATGATGAGGCGATGAACTGGCTTAAACGGCCTTGAAAGCCGTGCGGCTCGAGATTACAAATTGTGGTGCCGGTTAATTTCTGCAAGATAAGGATAATGCAATAAACATGAGTAGTAACGAAACTTTTTTGTTAGTGTTTTAATCATTAGAAAAAATATATATATAACCTGTATTTTGTTTGTATTCCTCAGCGCGCTATATTTATTCTTGATATTCATTCACTTTTGCCTAAAACTCTATAAATTACTCATACGTCACGTATGGCCAATGGATTAGACACAGACCTCAAAGGCTGTTAATCAAATTATCATTTCTTATATATCAGAGAATTTATGAATAACCAAATAATAACCAAAAGTTTTTCACCTTAGCTCGAAACTATAAAAATTACCCATACGTCACGTATGACCAATGAATCACATACATCCACATACATAAGTTAATCACATTTATAATTCATATTTATCGTTCAAACGATATTATGGTTAGAAACACAATTTAATTATTACCCTTTTTCTTAAAATTCACCACACGTATGAGTAATATGTGAAGTTTTAAGCTAAAACTCCACATATTACACATACGTCACGTATGACTAAAGGATCATACAAGATAAGCTAAGATAATCTTATTAATTTTGGTAACAAATCTTGTTTTTTCCTGCGTAAACTTAGTTTTTATAACAGATCGCACCCCGAATCACTTGAAGTGTTCTCTCTTCACCACACTCTTCTCTCCACACTTCACCACTAACTCACCTTGGCGAGCACGGGGCTCACACTCACGTCCAAAATATTGGGCGAACCCGATTGCCGTCGCTTTAGCAAAGGAATTTTTCCATGCAGCGACAAAAATACTTTTCAGACGGACTTTTCTCCTTGACTATTTGGGGTTTTTTGTGCTGTTTTTTTGGCGGCTGTCTTCTTGGGGAGATGGAGTTAAACTCGAAGTCCGGACTTTGGTAGTTGAGACTCAACTGAGCCCGTGCACATGGCCTAACTGACTTTTATAGGAAGGCCGTCAAATGGCATGCGCCGAATTTTCATTCATATAGCCCCGTATGTAAAGGCCCCCATCATCTCGCCCCCCTAGATGTCTTGCTTATTGTATTGTTGTATATGCAGTTTACCAAACAAAAATGCCAACACACACACTCACACCAGCGCAGCGCCGGGAAATATGCAACAGCCAACCAGAGAGGCAACTCGGATTGCAACGCTAAAGTGGGTGTGGGGGTGAGGGCGAGCAATAGAGAAAGAGCGCAATAGAGTGAGAGAGAGAGAGAGAGAAAAAGCATCCGATTAATTGCACGTGCTGCTGCTGCTGCTGCAGTTGTTGTTATTATGGCAGTTGTTGTTGGGTTTTATGTTGTTTTGCTTGTATTTTATTTTATTCCCCCCATCATTGCTCTCCACTCTCTCTCTCTCTAGTTCATTCTCTCTCTCTTTCTGTCGGCTGGCACTCGTGAGAGGCGAAGATGCGAAGCTCAGCAGCTCTCGGGACGATGATTGCTCTGCTCCTTGGCCTGTTTACCGTTAGTCGCACTCGGTCTTTCCAGCTCGCTCGTTCGTCCTTCGCTCTGCCGGCGCTGCAAGTGGTCGGGCGAAAGAGGGGGAGATGGAGGACCCCAACCCAACCCACTCCCCCATTTCCCCTGCCACTCGGCTGCATCGTATTTAGTTACATTTTGTTGGTGTTGTTGTTGCTGCCGTCCGTATTTTGCATTGTTTTGTGCTGTGTTTTGTTTTGCTGCAGCTCTCGGGCCGTGACTTCGTGTTATGTACCGTCGGCTCGTCGCTCGTTCGCTGCAGCCTGCTCCTGCGAGCCTGTGAGTGTGCGTTCTGTTGTTGTGTTGTATAGTTGGTTATGTACTATTGTTGTCGTTGCCATTGCAGCTATATTGCTATTGCTGTGTGTTGTGCTCTCTAAGCTCTTCCCCCGCCCCCAATAAAAAAAGGAAGAAACATGCACAAAAAAAAAGGACCCGAAGCTTACGCCGTCGGTTAACGGCATTCGCCGAGCGAACGAAAAACGGCCAGTGTTGTGTTGTGTAGTGTTGTGTGTTGTACTGTTGTTGTCGTAACGGTCATCGGCAATAATCCGTAGTTCCGCTGCAATATCCATATATTTTTTTGGGGGAAACCCATTCCAAAATTTTGATTAAACCTACAAAAATAAACAATTTTTTATAATAAGTGGAAAAACATGTGAAATCAGACTAATAAGGTATATTTTTAAAACTTTAACCTTAAAACATTCAGAACGTAACTTATTATTTAAAAAATAATTGAGATAATACAATTTTGAGCTGACTAATCAATCAAAACAAAGCCAACAAAGTATCCGTAAATGTATAAGTGATTTTCCTAAATTTATATTTCAAAATATTGTCACAAAAACATGTGGTAAAAAAAACCTTTAATCCGCTTTGGAGATTGTATTTAATTTGATTTTTCAATCTTTCGATTCGTTTTTCTGAACGGGAGTGGTTTAAGAAAATTATGTTCTTAATGTGATGATACTAATTTGTTTTTTTTTTTATTAAAATCGAGAACATGAAGTCGAGAGAAGTTCCGTTTATGTTTATTTATAGCATATATAACTTGCCAAATTGTAGTTTTTAGAATACGAAAATTTGAGAAATTTTGTATGATAAAGATGCCTGATTTGCATTTGCTAATTAAATAGTGGGTAGGATGCTCTAAGATTTTACCAACAACACCTGTAAATTATAAGCAAAAAATTTGATTAGAAACCATTTTTGATTTCAACAGAACCTTTCAATACAAATGTTGCATAAACCTACCCATTTCTTTTAAAGTTTTTTTTTATGCAGAGATATAAAAATAACTGTAATAACACATTTAATAAGTTAATATAAAAATATTAAATTAAGAGCATTAATCCGCTCAATATTAAATATTCATCACACCAAACAAGCAACAACCGCAGGGAAGTCAATCGAAAATAAAAGAAAACATCAACAAACGCCCGGGCACCCAACACTCCAGCTTCCGTTTCCGTTCTGTCAACCGCGCGATGCTGACAACAAAAAATTCATAGCCTAACACGCAGGCTGATTTATATTTCACTCACACAGGCGCACTCCCACACACACATTTACACTCACATGCGCCGACATAAAGTGAGAGCAATTCATAAACAATTAAGTGACACATTGAGCCCGTGTGAGCCGTGGGTGTGTGGTAATCGACCGACAGAGAGGGCCATTTAACGCCAATGAAATTATTGTAATTGAGTTAACTTCGCAGGACATCTGTTTGTTTGTGTGTGGTCAACAATCGAATTGTTTGGCATACTGATTAATTACATAAAAAACCGATTTCAAAGTTATTTAGTAATGAAGGCTTGTAAATAAATAATCAGACTGAAATAATGGGAAAAGTTTCAAAGATTTATTCTTGGAAAATGTGTTTTAATACATTTTTGGTTTTGATAAAAGTACTTCTTTAGTCTTTGTAATATTTTTTCTTATAATAACTTTAAACTCTTTTCATTTCTTAAATTCTC